CTTCTCTATACCCGTGATAGCTTGATAATATACACTTTTGTTTTATGGTGTTAGTGAAGTGAGTCGGCGGAAGAATTGCAAAAATTTGCAGACTTCGAACAAACAAATCATCAACATGTGGTATGGGCTACTTATATCCACATAAGTAGTATATAACGGTAGTCAGAAATAGAATGTATTTTAATGGATCGAGAAGGAAGGAACAGGAACGGAAAACAATTGGTACGAAAATGCAGGAACAATGAAATATGAGACGATGGACTGATATTTTGCAAATTTAGTATTTACTGTATGGTTCTCAGATTTTAGTGATATTCTGTAATTTCGTGGGCAAATACATCCGATTGTCTCCACTCGTGTTCTTGTTCACTACAAACATGCAGACTATATTGACAAAAAACCTCATCGCTATCTGCGATAGCTAGTGGAACTATTCGGTTTCTCAAGCCGTGGTTTAAACCTGTGACCCGTTAGTGAAGGTTGTGTCTTAACTGCTAAATTACCAGCTCCAAATTCGCTAATGTATTATACAGGAGTTATTAGCATGGAGCAGTTTAAGAATATAGTAAATGCATTACGTTAGATTTGAATATCCAGAATCTAGGAGTATCCCAAAAATTAGATCACCAAAGGATGTGTCAGAATGGAAATCATCTCAATAGAGTATGTAGTAAAAGTAAATTGTGCGTAAAGAAAAAGACATTTGTATGTTTTACAGAACATAAACGAACCACACAACTTACCTTTTCGTTTTGTTGGATCAGTAGTTGAACTAATCTCAGTCATCAGAAGAATTCCCCCTGAGCAACCAATATCTTATTATAAGTCACAAATTAAGGTTAAGCGCGCAAACAAATATCATACAACAGAAAAAAACACCAAACTAGTCAAGGATACATAGAATCATCACAATAAAAGTCTCTGCAACAAATTGATAGTCAGAACCATCGTATATAAAGGCTTTCTAGTGTATGATTAGGCTGAATAAAGAAAAAACACATCTTACAATTTCTCCGTTAGGAGGTGGCGCATGAAAAAGCGGGGGTCCACGAATATGATTGTACACTTGCCCAGAAATAGAACAGAAAATAACACCCTACAATAAAAAAGTGCTCATTAAGTGACACTGTACATACTGGTCATTAAGAATAACTTACACTCAAACCACTAAAGAACAAACTGTTAGCTATTGTATTATTTCTAAAATTTAGGCTTGAACTAGGAGTACAAGTAAATAATAAAAAATAGGGAGCTATGGGAAAATAGTTTACTGGTTCATGGTGCCGTTACTTTGAAAAAAATACGACGATAGGAAATTAAGAAAACAAGACAAACTGATAATAATAATATTAATTAATAAAAAAGAACTAAAAATGCGGAAGGCATGTTTAACATAGTTACATCTCTTAAATATACCATTCGAGCGACATACCTATTTAACTAAGGTGAGACCTATTATTATCGAATGACAAATATACATCAACAATGATTGTTACAGAAGTCTTCTGTGGGCACAGTTTCTTCTTGTTGGTGATGAAACAAACCGAAGGCATTGTTTTTTTTAGCATATCTCTTATATACGAATCCGGAAGCTCATACTGTTTGCTTTTGTCATTAGTATTGATAAAACTAAACATCAAAATAAACCAGAAATACTCATTGTCGTTACGGAAAAAAAGACAGTAGATACTTTTTTCAAGCATTTCCTGCCTATAAATGACTGATCATTCTGGAAATAACTCAGTTTCAAACTGCTCGATAACTTGCTTCTGAAACTTGATATTCTGTCAATCTAAGCGTAAATGAGATGTATTACTTTCGCCTAGACGATGCCACTAACATATATTGATATACGAAGGAAACATGAAGTTACGTATCTTTTAATAGTCTATTGTTTAGAGGACGTAGTAATAATAGTTGTCTAATAGTCTTCATACAACTCCCACTTGAAATATTGTGTTTGTACAATAAAATTAGTAAAAACACATTCTTAATTTTCGAATATGTTATGGGGATTTTTTAGGTGTAAAACTTTATGTACAAGTACAGCGTAATCTAGAATCGCAAGCCGTTTGTATAATTGAAATTATTTGAAATGCATGAAAATGTCTTAGATATTAGTGTTATTGGTAGAGAATATGAATCGTACATATCATAGAGTACAATTAGAAACACAGGCGGTTTCGTCCATAGAATTTCGATTTTAGCTCGTAGACTGAGGAGTAAACGGAAGTTTAGTTGATAGTTTTTGAGTTAGACAAATAATTTCACAGCCAGATTTAGGTTGAAGTGACATTCTTTATGGAGTAAATTGGTTTTCTATGCATAACGAGTGGGTTCATCTTTTACATTTTGCCCACATTAATAATTACAGAAATAATCATATATTTGGTAACCTTGAGTGTTTCCAATAACTTCTCATGGAATAGGACTCTGTCAATTTTGAAAAATGAATTTGGTTATAAAAGCTATGGAATATGGCACAGTTATCCATCAAGTTGTGACTCAACATTAGCGAAGCGAGGGGAAATTGATAAGATACATACGAAAGTTCAAACTAATAAGACACATCAATAAAAATAGTCCACTTTTCTGTAACTCGAACACTTGTTGTATTTGATAATTCCAACAACAAACCAATTAACTGATCTGAGTTGTCTATGGGATAGTGAAACTATGTACATAAATACTGTAAGTCAACATCTTTATGTAATATTCATCATGCCACCACATTTATTTTCAAGTTATCTCGAGAAAGATTAATTGTGAAATTAAGCAATTGCACCTATTCTTACTATCATTAAAATAATGGGGACACGTGGTGTTATTCAATCAGTCTCCTTGACGTATAAAGATATATCTCGAAATTATGATGGACAATTTATGGACAACCTCTATTAAAAGTTTTGAAGTCTCACTTAAAGTAATGAAGCAACCCAAGTCGATCAATACGTTTGGTGCGTAACAATCGAAGATTAGAAGGAATAACAATAAAGACGCGATCTTGATTAAAAGCCAATCTTAGTCATTATGCTCAAAACCTTAATCAACCACCATATCATATAAATGAAATAACACTTTTGGAAGGAAATTAATAACAATGATGATGACAAATTATTATAAAGATAATGCTATCATTGTTATTATTGAAGAATACATAAGGATGCAAGCACAATACGTTTTTTTCGAAAAATGCATACGGCTGTCTATAAAAAACACATAGCATTACATTATGATTGCTAGTTTTTAGTTGTGAGGCGTGCTTGACATCTTAATCTACGGAGCTGTGAGAGATCTAATATCCTACTCAGTGAGTCGTAATCAACTGACATATAACAATCTTTTTCCCCACTCACTTTCGAAAAGAAATTTACGATTCTCTGATTGCTTCATATTGCACTTGTACGAGGAATACGAATGTTTTCACTCATTCCATGAAGGGACAAATACATAAAATAGCATAATCTAGTAAATATACTATGTGACGAACAGGTTGTTAGAGCTGACCTGGTCAATAACTAGTTTTCTTTAATAAAATTCTAATTACAAACTAGTACGGATTCAAATCTTCTTTATAAAAACATTTTACTTAATTCCAGGTAGCTTATGCACACCCCGAACGTTGTTGTCACCTTGACGTGGTGGTTGGACTTGTCTATCGTGATGAAGCAACCGAGCTATATTGGCTGAAACCATCGTTCCTCAGGGCCACACCATGCCAGGCAGGTCGGTTGAAGAGCGGTAAGACTAAAAGCAACAAACCCAAGGTCCGAAGGCGAAGTCGTACTGCTGACTATACAGAGATGTGACGGCAGTAAGGTGTTTCCCTTGGAAAATCAGCATGACAGCGATGCTACGTTCCCATAAGGAGGGTTGGGGTTAGAAAAGGTCCACCCTAAAAATGCACACCTCACCTCATCCCAGGGATATCCGTCTCCGGCGGTAAGGTTTTAACAGGTACGGAGCCAACACGAAGATTACTCACAAGTGTCGTGTGTGACTGACCTCAAGCAGTTGTCCCTTGGGCACTGCGGTCACGCTCTCAGGTCATTAAGACCACCTCTAATCCAATTTCCTTTTCAGGTACCTCCAGAAGAACCCGTCCACGGTGTGGGCAACCGGGAAGTGACAACCGCCCTCATACCTCTAACAGCACTCAAGAATACTACATTCATAATCAACCTCTTTCTTCAGTCCCTATTATTCCTCCTACGTCGACTTTCAACACTAAACTTCCTCCTTAGGCTCCCTCCCCAAGTATCACCACCTATGAAAAAGGCGAGATATCCGTCTATCAATAAAAGGACGAGTATACTGCACGGCAGTTCGTTCTGTTTTACTTTACGGATACGGAACGTGGCCATTAAGGGAAGATACTTGTAAGCTACTAATATTTGACCACAGATGCCTTAGAAATATTGCTGGCGTCTGCTGGGATCACCGGGTAAGTAATAGTGAGGTTAGACACAAGGTATTAGGGAATGATGGTAAATCAGTTGATGAGGTTGTGAATCTTCATCGACTGAGATGGTTGGGCTACGCGTTGCGTATGCCTGAACACCGATTACCATGACGCCCAATGCCAACTGATGTTGGGGATGGTTGGAAGAAAGTTAGGGGCGGCCAAACCAAAACGTGGCATTAGTGCTTGAAGTCACTAACTTCTTGTCTGAGCCATGTTGGTAGATGCAGACTACTTGGTTGAGGTCCGTGTGACTATCGTAACCAATGGTTGGAGACTTGGTGACATGGCTCAGAATCGATCACAATGGCGTAGGTGTATACACTCCCTGTCTTCCCTTAAACTAAGAGATTAAAATCACTTCATATCTTTCTTTCTACGTAGTAATTCTTTCTTCTTGTACTATATCATTATATGCTATCTTTCTTTTATATATTACCACAACTGAATTAACTACTTTTATGAATCCGGTGTTTATCCTGTTGTGTTAATGAGGTATGGCAACTTGGACCGATGCATATATGTGCTTGGTCCTACGTTGTAGCTGACTGACTGACTGACTATGTACACATGTACGCAGTTGTTTGTCTTTGTTTTTTTGTGTAAGAAACTTGCTGAAACACTTTGTGCTGAGAATTTCATATCGTATCTAAAGTATAATATTAAATAAACCCACTAATAATAATAAAGCTCAGAGAAACTGAGTTGAGTTCAAAAATGACTAAATTTCATAAGTATTTTGCACACAAAGATGGATATCAGGAGAATGAAACAGTTGAGTGGAACGTTTGTAATAAACATCAACTTTTGTTTTCACCATAAAAATTATTTATTCTGGTTGTTATATTTTAGTATGCAAATAGCTAACCGTTTTAACGGTATTCCATTATTTTTTTGACACTTTTAAATCAAAATATGCGAGTATTTAAAGGACAAACTAGTCATTTGAAGGGAATGGTTCTTATGACTATTAACAGCATCTTGCAACATAAAATGCATAAAAAAACATCACGTTATTGAGGGTACTTAAGGCAAAATTACTAACATGAGAATAAGTATACTACAAAAATTAACTACGCTATCGAATTCTATAAGCTTCAGAAGATAGTTAATCTCACGAATCCTTAACGGTTAAACTGTCGAATACCCAAAACAATCTGGATTGAGGTATTACTCTATTTTACTAACTTTACAACTGACAAAAATCTATTGCTTACCAACGATATTGCACTCCATAATGAACGATTATATAGACAGTCCAAGTTGATTCGACGGAAATACAAAACCGCAGCCCCAAGGGACATAAAAAGGGCAAGTATCATGGTTCCAGTATAATTTGGAGGTCGGAATAAACGAATCTGAGAAATCTAAAAGCGAAACATATTTACCTGGATTTGGGTAATTCCAGTTATCCATCGCATGATCGCCTCAGCAGAAAATCCATTAACCGTAATATCCATGTAGTCCGATTGCTTTATATTTCCTTTAGGTGATACAAACACAATCGCAGGCGCAGTTTCTTGATGTAGCTAAAGTGGTGACTAGATTTTTATAACTTACAAACTCAAAGACACCAGGTGCCTTGTCAAAGTCTGCAATCGCGAAGAACAACCGATCATCACGCTGCTTAGAGTACTTCCAAGAGTTCGATACAACTTGAAACTCTTCAAATGCTTGTCTGAATAACACTTGTGAGGATATCAAAGTGATACCAACCTGCAGGGCGCACAGTTCCTATTAGAACTTAAGGCAGTCAGAAGTAATATAACTGAGTAATTCCTAGGCTGTGATTTTATTAGAAGATTAAACTGATCAGTATCAAGACTGATATATGATTGACTGGTAGTAAGCTGATTCATTTTCCTAATTTTTTTTTCTAATATCTGAACGACAATAACATGAAGATTTTGACCCTACCTCTTCAACTGAAATTCCATTTCCAAAAGCAAGCAAGGATAAATAAACAAAGAGGAAGAACATCCTCGAGAATGTGATGTCCATCCGTTGACAGACTCTCGTGGAAAGGGTGGATGAGTTGTAAAAAAAGCACGAAGACACGTAAGTTTGGTGGTGACAATTTACTCACCAAGCACAGGAATCTGGAAGAGAAAAAAACTTGAACTAAAGATTTAGTACATGCACGTAACTGAAAAAAGCACTTGTAATTAAATAGGCAAAGGACCCACGAATGATTGATGTATGAATCCGAGTGAATACAGTAATTAAAACTGAGGACGAGTCAAAATAGTTCAAATGACTGTGAACAGAATAGCAAAAGCTTACGTATAGTAGTAATGGTTCACTGATTCCTTTGGATAGAGATCCATGTATATGAAGCAAACAGAAGCAAAAGAATCGTTAGTAAACTAGTATGGTACACTATTATAGGTAACCAAGACCATATGAACTTCGCCATTTAAGCACTCAAGGGAATTCGCTTGACCAGTTTAGTCAGTAGTAAATAAGAGGTAAAAGGATGCTGCACCGACAGCTTTGAGTGAACCAGTCAACGTTGACATTGCACCTCGTAGATATTTTGCGTGAAATCAAGAGTGTTGCTTACGATGGGTTAAACTATCTGCCCTTAGTCCCAATTTGGAGACAGTCTTAACCTGAGGCTTGTTATTGCTGACTGTTGTCTACTGCTTTCTTTAGCAAACGTAAATGAATTATATGCACTTGCTAAGCCGTCAACTCACCTTTTCTTTTATTTTCTTCCAGCTCCCCTCGTTCACACTACTCTACAAGCTCCTCTCGCAAACAAAGTACCACTTGACTGAGGTGAACCGGTACACTCTTATATAACATATATTTTATTACTACGTGAAAATTAACGAGATTCGGTTCCTAAAGTTTGAAACTAATAAAAAAATTTACTGTATAACCAAGTGGTGAGTACAGAAAAGTTAGTAAGCGGAATCAGAAGAAATACATGCTCCTGTTTCAGACAGTGTCTAAGTATTTGGCGCGACTAAGTGTACAGTTAGCGGGTGAGATTATAATTTATGAACGACGTTTGAGCGACGCCAAAGGGACCTTGAGAACGTTTATCTACTTACTAGGGCTTAATGAGGGTTGTAAACCGGCGGGAGGAGTAAGGATTATAATTTACTGTTAATGGTTAGCGTTTTTCATCACGAAATGACATCAACGAAAATGCCAAAACGCTACTTAGCCAAGTGGATAGATGGAATTCGCTCCAAAAACCCTAGATCTGTTATCCTAAATCTTACTGGTTCGCCCATAAATTAGTCTCGCCGGTTAGAGATGTTAGTGATGCTAAGTAGCAGTATTATTACTCTATAGATCCTGGCCCCGATTTTGTAAACAAAAGTGGCATTGAGGTTAACAGAGGAGGTTTCGTTCCCAAAGCAGTTTTGTCTGACAACATATGGTTTTAGACCACAGTGTATCAAGATCCCTAGATCTTTTTTAACTGGTGACACATGTAGGGGAAAACGACCCTAGTTGTATATGTAATTTTAAACAAGTCGCGTAACGATGCACACATTTTAAGGAGTTGAAAGTAAGTCTATAGTTGTCCGGCTAACTTTAAAGCCCAGTCGTACACTTCTGGAGTGTCAGATTGTTACTCTGGTAGCAAATTTCTACGTATATACGCACCTACGCTACTGAATCACTAAACTGAAAACGTACTTACATTTAACAATTTCAACGATAAGAGGTAATTGGCTGATGAGTGTCAACTGAAACTGAAATATCGGTCTAGATTAGGAGAGAACTACATAAACTAACCAGACAAAAATGATTCACAGTAAGTGCACTTACAAGCTGGCAATCACGTAGGTTTTATTGATGAGTTAAAACAAAACAAACAAACTTGAAAAACCTCTCTAAACTTTCGTCTTTCCCCTTTGATTTATAGATGCGCTCAAATGTTACATTGTTTTATGTGCAGAAGGATCGTTTTTCTATATAACGGAGTGACTTTACATGTTTCGGGACTGTCTGGCAGAACCAGCGAACAGATAGTTTTCCTCAGTGATCATCTGGTCCATAGATGATCCGCATGTATAAAACTCTACAATTTTTTTCTTCAATCCTTTAGGAACCAAAGGAGAAGGTACATTTTCAGTTCAATCATTGAAGTAAGGCACCACGTTTACATAAACTTACTACCTTTTGTAACACGCTGAAAATCGGTCCAAAGCATTTTTTAAACTTTTTTGTTATTTATTTGTTCCTTGTCTTGTGTCCTAACTTTTATACAGGTCCCTCTTAACTACATGTTATGTTCCTCAACCTTCCCTGTCTTGGCCTTTATTATTTGACTTTGTCTAAAGATTTACCTTTTGTCACTTATTTTTACCGTCGCACGTTGCCGGACTATGAACGACAGGGCCGTGTTTTACTAAAATCAGGGTTACAACGTGGTTCGGTGCATGAGTATTAACCTTTGGCCGTCTACTTAGAGAAGTTACTGTAATCCTTGTAGATGGATATCTGATCCCGTAGCGGAAATATTTTTATTGATTCTCAGATACCGGACATGTAGATCACCAATGTAGATGGTTTGTGTCGAATGATTGGGGGCCTACTCGAGTTAGACGGAGATAGTGTGACCAACCAGCCGATGACGAAGTCACACCTCACAGTAAGTATCGAACGTGGATTAACCCACCGTCATATGGCTACTTTTATGACCGTATAGCACAAACGACGTTATTTCAGATATATTTGTAAGGGTAAGTACAAGAAACAGAGTTCGATTAACTGATGGGCGCTGACATTTCACTGTCCCTACAAAGTGATAACTATTAACTATTTTTATTGCTGTTTATCACTTTATTTTGTGCTGGGTAGAACTTTGTTCAGCACGTTATGAACCGTTTAAGTTATTTCTGCCTTAATATGACTTATCTTCTTCCTTAAATTAGGACCGTTTAAGTTAAGGACAGTCTTTGCTTTGATATTGTACGTCCATTGAAGTGTCACTGGACTTTAGCTAAATCATCCAACTGTTCGGTCAATGAATGCCGGACAGTTCACCCATCCTCATCAAGTTCAAAGATAACCAACGCGCAATAATTAATCGCTCGCTAAGGACTGGCCAATATGGTGGTCGTCACAATCTCTTCCTTGCAACCACTCTTACTAGAATAACTCTTTTTACGTTATAGGGTCTTCAAAGCAGCCGTCGTCCCCGAATAAGACGAGAGGGTAATCCATGTTAGATACTTACCGTGAGGTGTGACTTCATCATCGGCTGGTTGATCACACCGTTCCCGTCTAACTCTAGTAGGTCCCCGATCATTCGACAAAGATCATCTGCGTCAGTGATCTGCAGTATACTTTAATGCGAGTCATTCAAAAACTAGTTAAATCAGATCACAAGTGGGCATGTGACACATCCAACATGAGTGCTGACGTTTTGCTGAGCCATATCATCATTCCTTGACAGGTCTGTGGAAAGTTATCGGCAGCCCTGAAAAGGCACTCTTGAAACGGATAAGTAGAGAAAGGTGCTCTGAGCGATAACATAGATGGCCTTCGATAACATTAGTACTGATGGAACACACATCGACACTTGGGAAGCCATGCTGAAACTCAGCACCGCCATAACATCGACGGTGTCAGATTTTTTCAGAAACTTCTAATGCAACTGTGGTCTGTAAAACGTCTACTGTAGATGACCCAAATCCTATCGACGGGGTAAAGAGGAATCATTCATCGTGGAAATTACTGAACAGCCCAGATTTCGTAAGAAAACTAGTTAACGAATCGGCCGCGCCATCTTTTCTTAAGATTGTCCAGTCTGTTAACAGATTGTACGGGGTTCCGGACCGTAATCTAACTGCCAAATAAGAAGAACCCCAACCTCAACGTGATGGAAAACATGCGATGATCCTCCCATAATCACTAACGTTAGAAACAGCTCTGACTTCCCTATCAATCCACAAGACAAAAGTGACCGGATGTTTAGGGAAGACTTTAACAAGAAGCACAGACTTCCCAAAATTGAACCACCCAACGTCACACACCTTTTACCGGAGGAGGACTCCTAGCAACAAAATTATCCGAGACTCCTTTATGCAACGTTCGTCAACACTATTAATGTTCTGCTGGCTAGCCACTTCGTGAATTCAGAGGGGTATGTGAGAACACTGCTTGATGTACCATATTCTGAGACATGTCCCACCAGGAACATCTTTAAGGAATCTCGCGTGACGTTCTTTTGCGGAAGAAACATCATTGTGCAAGGAGTGCCAGAAACCATAAACACTAACCATGCAGACTACGATACTATAGAGATGAAGTTCATAGATCAGTCTTTGGAGATGAAGAACATATTGACCTAACAAGTTGTTTGGTTACTGAAGAAGGAAGATTCTAGATCCCGATCAACAGAAATAATCCTCCCATCCTCCCAGATCGCGGCCGCCACCCTCAAAGTACTTAGTGTCGACAGATGCCCGTGACCGGCTGAAATCTACATGCAACCGGACGGACATATGGTACAAGTGTAGTGAACAGAACACGGGTGGGGACAATCGAATGTATTTAGCACAAAATTACAGAGTTACTCGGTATAATAGAAAAACCATATAGCAAATCGCTTATTTGCAAAGTAGCAATCCCTCATATCAAACCGGACTGTTCCTATTGCAAACATCAATCCACTTTCTCACATTTCATTATTCAAGGGTTTTCTTAAAAATCGCATTGTGTTCAGCTCTTCCTTTCTTGATCTTCCTCCATCTTCTGCTGCCAGGAATTACGTTTCTAACTCGCATCATACACTACTTATATCAATATGAGTAGCACACACCACACAAGGATCAAGCACAGAAGCAAATTTTAACTGACTATTTTACTTGTGGATAGTAAAGACCAGGGGACAGTGTGGAAGGGAAAAGCGGTGTGGGTAGGTTGCCCATCCATTCGCATGAAGCTCACTCGCATAAACGGGATGAAGAGGCTCAAGCGTTTCAGATTAACAGTATTAACTGCCTACAAACGAACTCTACGAGTTTACTGAACAAAAACGGATGAGTTGCGTGAACTAAGTAACGCCAATGATACCCATTTGAAACATGGAAATTTCAAATAACGGATCAGGAGCCAGCGATATCCGGTTGTCTTCGTTTCGCAACGACAAAAAACATGGATTGGGGGCGGGGTGGCCCTGTGCCTAGGATCTTGCTTGGTAGCACATTAGGCGTACACTCCAGAGTTTATCAATCTTGATAAATCTATGCCGTGTTCAGTAAGGTTGCCTAAAATCTTGAGGTGTCTAGCTGGAGTCATCTACAGGAAGCCCACTGCGTACATTGGGGACGACAATCGTATGTTGGAGGGATTATCTCACTTGGATATACTCATACTCTGATTGTAGGAGACTTCAAACTTACATAAGATAATTTCACTGACCACACGTACATTGAATGTCATATCACTATTGCAGCTCGGTTAAACATCCGAAAAACTGAGATCAACAAGTCGGTGAAGAAACAATCAGACACCTTGCGCTACGACTGTATATTTGTAGCGTGCCGTCGGGTCGCAGTTGACTATGAACACCGCTACAAAGAAACACGTGCCAAATGAATCAGAAGGCGAAGGTCGAACGTAACCAAATAGATCCATAAAATCCCCGATAAGCCAAATATTAGAAGGCAGTTAATGGACCAAATCGAGATATATTCGCTGGCGATCTCGTGGTATCGAAAGGATACCGAGATCGTGCCAGAATACAGGCTTGGTTACAGAACGTAACCGAATTCGCGCGAAGTTACAATCAAAGTGTAAGAATAAGAATGGAAGCACAATATAGCTGTCATTAGCACAGTCAAACAAAAGCACATTAAAACAAGCACTGGTACAGTTGGTTATAATAATAATTGTTTTTTTTAAACCAGTCGCGTTCTCGTGATAAATGTGAGTCACTACATATTTGCAAGTAAAGAATTTCTAATTGGCAACCTATTAATCTCTGCTACTCATGAAAAAAATGGTCACTCTGTCATAGCCTTCATTTCGGGTTAAAGTATCCTACTATCGACAGGCTTCGAAATTTCAAACGTCTGGAAGTGTTAGCTTTACAGATTGACCTACAGGAAGTGGACGGGTAAGTCCACCCTCAACTTGATGTGCACTTACTGCACACGATCATGTGTGCTACAAAATAGTCTGTCTCCAAAACGGTCCACAAAAATGACAAGCAACATACAGTCATAAAACATTTCACCTTTTGAATGCTAATACACAAAAAAGACTACTGGGTGAAATACAAACGAACAAATATAGACAGTTCAAACTAGCAAGAGAGCAATGCACAAAAGCAATAAGAGAAGATAAGCTTCATTATCAGCTAAAGCTAACCAATGTATTTGTCTCCAATCTGAAAAGTTTATTCCGTCATGCAACCTCTCTTCGACCAGTGAAAACCTGAGTTTCCCAGTTGTTAGGTCTTGATAGTTCTTTTGGTGGAACAGCGTTTCTCAATCATTTCAACCGTCTTATGCAAATTGTATCAATAAAAGCTTTTCATGCAATTAAACAAGTCTCTAAGAAGTGATCCTGAGCACTGACTTGGTGTATCGGTAACTGAAGCACCTAAACAAGGATATCTCTCCTGACTCGGAAATGGGAGAGAGGAGGGACTTTAATCTTGGAGAAACCATTTAGTGTGATGTTTTCATATTCAGTAGACCGAAGCTCGATGCCAAAAATTTGGAAGCTGGCTCATATCACATCAATTTTCAAAGGAGGCTGATGCAGAGAACGTTCAAGCTACCGGGCGGAAGCACTTTTACCAATAGTCTTAAAAATTACAGAATTCTTGACATACGACGGTCATTTCGGCTAGTTATTATTCATAAACTTCCACTCACCTCAACAGAATGGTCTTAGGAATGGTCACTCTTGTATGATCAACCTGCTGACCGCGGTGAACAGATAGAAAAGTATCCATTACTTCTCAAGATCTTTCTATAGAGTCAGTTTTAAGCTCAAACGGCTAGGTATCACATCACCATTGATTGATTGATTTACTTCATATCTAAGTAACTGACTTTTTGGGGTAAGGGTCAACTTCACTTTTTCCTAGTTGACGGAGTGTATTAATGGGGTCTCCCATGGTTCAGTACTATGACCTATTCTTTTCTAAATATACAAGTAACCTTCTTCAGCAAGTGTCATCTTATTTGTTACTTTTCACTGATGACGTGCGATTTTGAAGAGGAGTGTGCAACCAAGATGATGAGTTGGTATTAACTTTATAGCTGGGCACATACCGACGAAATTACTCTCAACACTTCAAAGTGTATGGTAGTCCATCTGAGATACGTTGCAGACCACTCATACAACTAAATTAACTCCGCTCCAGAGGCATACCAAGATGAAGAAATAGGAGTCTTAGTACCATACAATCCATGTCTTAAGCTAACTGAGACAAATGTGATTTTCGAGCAAACATTGAGCTGGTAACGTTGAAGTGCGTTTCTGGCCATTGTGACGGTGGAACTTTTTATTCAATCTTCAGTAGTTTTGTTTGACCGCATTTGGAGTATAGAAATGTGGTGTCTACGCCCGTGCTCCAAAAGGACAAGAATATACTGGAACGTACCCAAAGGTGAGCCAAGAAATGAGTTCGGCGACTCAAATTCAAGTCTTATGAAGAGCGGCTCAAATCACTGAATCCCTACCTATCAGAGTAAAGGTGTCTCAGAAGTGACCTTCTACTGACTACAGCATCTTAAACACTCCCAAGCATCCTCTTTATTATCTACTTAAGCATAGTGCGAAAACACAAACTTTAGAGTTAACACTCAGAAATCAGAGACACAACATAGCAGAATTGACAATGGACCTCCCTTTTACTCCTTACGAGTAGTCAACTTCTGGAATTCACTGCCATCTGAGGTAATCTGAGCGACTCCTTAGGAGTCCTTTAAGAGAAAACTTGACATATTTTTAAGGACTTATGACAGTACCTTACCATAATTTACTAACATTTCTTTTTTTGTCGTTAAGTGTACCTAGGCTCCTGCCTAGAAGCATCAGTGATCCACTACTGATAAATATGGAAGCTCGTTCAGCAAAAGCACTTTTTTTAATTCCAGGCAGAACCATTTGAACCATTTACTGGAAACATTAACTGCACTCACTTTTTTCACATACTACAACATTTTCTGATTTATGCTTTAACTAATAGCTTTGACCCTTCACCACATGTTTCTAAATTCAGGAAATTGTTTCTTAACACTGTATCAAAAGTGTAAAGTAATTACTTAGTTTAGCCTGAACGTTAAATGCATATTGGATATTGAAACTGCGGACATCTGGCGGCGCGGAGTTACTCGTGAGAATGTCGTTGTCAAAGTATATTTCCCCTCCCTTGGCTTCCCTCCCACTGTGCTTACCCCGTTATTATGGCGGTGTGATTCTAGTGGGTGTGAGTGCATTCGGGTTAAACATTTACTTCGCCCGCCGAGTCATGCAAGCTCGCAAAGAACACAGCGTTGAGTTGCCTATTATGTACCACCCCACAAACAAAGTATTTAACTGCATCCAAAGAGGTCATCAAAACTAGTATGTCGAACATTGTTTTATGTTGCTTTTCTAGTCTAGAGGTTCTCCCCTTTTTCCTCATGGCGTTGTTTCTGGGTGGTTTGCGTTACCCTGTAGGTCGCCATTTCTCTCATAATTTAAAACTTAGCGGACGTATACTGCATGTGGTGTAGTATTTCTCCTCGGTCGCCTATTATATTTTCAGGGATATGCAACCGGAGGTAAGTGATGCTACATTTAAAGTGTTCTATTGTGGGTTACAATTTCAACTTGAGAGTTTGTACGCCTTAAATTCTGTATATCGATCAGAAATCCAGTCTCCCTAATTTAGGGGAACGGCACAGAAACTGCCAATTGTCATTGAACTTTGGGTGGGACCCCAAAATCGGGAGATCGGATTACTATCCCTGGTTTAGTGTGATGTAAGACAGTATATACATATCGGATTAAGTTCTATTCTTATGACGAACTCGAGCGACTTGTTGGGTAACACTGAAAACCCCTGAACTCTATTTAACCACTTTAGCACACTACAAATGCATGGCTTATAGTCCTAATATTGTATTTAAACTCTAGTATTAAGATTAGGTTGCGCAGTTTACGGTTAGGGTTGGAATTGCGGTCTCGGACTCACGGTTATGATTTAGATATAAAGTTATAGTTTAGACTAGGTCTTACGCTTACCATATGTCCCATAATCCTAAACGTTCACTCTAACCCTGAATCTTAAGTTCCAATGTTAACCTGAACCCTAGTCCTAAATGCTAGTCTTCACAGTCCTCTGCTGTCGAAACTACTTAACATTCTTTCATGAGTGAGATCATTCACAAAACAACCGGTAGACAACATTTCGGTTAATTTATACACCGTAAACTTGCTCGTTCTGGATAGGGATTTAATTTGAACACAAGCTTCTAGTTCATGCAATGCCCTGGTATGGCCGAGAGCGGGTTGGGCCCTCCCTCCCTCTCGAAATGCTCTCACACGGCCACGCGTATACAGCCTCTGCCAGGGAAGTCCTACTCACTGCCTTCTCGTGCCGAGGATGCGAAAATGAGAGGACGAAAAGCGTATGTCTGGCGCTTTAACCGGATCCCAAACCAATGGTCCACATGGGCTTCTGTATCCTGAAGGGACAGATGGCGTATGAATCAGTCGTTGGTCACAGGCTACCATGGGACTGCATCTCCATACGATGCTCCACTGCCTTGTGGACCAGACCTTTAGGTCAAAGGCTCGGGGTGTGGCCCCCTAAGAAAACCACCTGCTTCGATCTGGGCACCCGGGCAGTATCACAGCCTATACACAAAGATATGTTGTGGCGCATATATATTTGGTGCCCTCTTGTACCAATATTTATGTGTTCAAATAAATAACTAATGACTCATTGAAGTTAATCGAGGCTGATAAGGACCGAAGGTAGGGTTTGAGTTTTAACTCTCAAAACAAGTCTCTCTGATAAAAAATATATTGCAGTCAGGATCAGAAGGGTTATTTTAGTCAATCATAATGTGAACGATGAGCGGCTTGGTTAATAGTACTCTCCTGTATAGTTCTTTCATGTTACACGAGTTGGTGGTATGATATGCTTATTATTCGTCAACTTATTGAAAAGTATATATGCACTCATTTCTTTTTTTACTTTGATAGACCCAGCAAAGCGTCATAAAGGTGCTATTTCCATGGCCGGTGGATTCCCAATGATTATGGGGTTGCTAGTTTTCGGTGTTCAACACTTGGTAGCGAGTATAAGGTAATATATGTAATGGCCAATTAATATTACGTTTAATTAAAGCTGTTATGTGTATTATGTGTCAAATATTATGGCCTCAATCCGACTTCTATTTCATTTTTTTTAGATGTACGGGTTGTGCATTGCGTAGTTGAGGGAAGTTGGATCATATGTAACAGCATTCATAAATATTTAGTAGACGACTATTTTTATCATTGTCATGCATGCATTTAGAATAAAACTATTTCACAAAATGTTCTTTTTGCTTAATTTACACTAGCATAATTTCAAAGCTGAATTGTATGACTTGGTATTCAAGTTTTTCCCAAGGGTCACCAAAAGTCCAAATGTGATTCCCTTTCACTTTACAAACCGTACACTAGAGCAGTGCAAGCAAATAATGTAAATTATAAGGATTTCAACATGCAAAACATGCTTCAATTGTCATGTGCAAATTGGTAAGGGGAATCCACAAATTCGGTCATGCTACCTGAATAACCATAATTTCCGCCAGTTTATCTGTCTTACTAGTTTTAGTAGACATTTGAGGATCATGGATACCTGTTGAGCGTTTTTTTCGGTCAAAAGCGCCACACAACCTAGTCCATAATCGTCCTTTAATTTCATGGTTTGCAAAATCTAACCGTTGGCAACGACCGGAGTTCTGCATCAGCTGCGGCCTGATGTTTACATTCAAATTTTAATTAATGTCTAATCGTCAATAGCAGGCTAGGGCCAGTCACTCCCTGGCGTTTCTGTACAAGACCGATTACTTAACTTCGATAGGTTGTTTACGGTTCAGTTCTTCTTTTGTGAAGATTTAATATCTGTAAATCTCAGCACTGAAGTGCTATCCCAGTTTTATTATCCTATACTCTCAATAAAAAGTGCTTTTCCTGGTCTATAATTTGTTTGGCTTGGCGGTGCTTGATATCAAACTATAGATCCAGTACGGGACAGTTTTAAAGTGGTGTAGCGTATCTGTTAAGGAACAGTAAGTGAATATACTGTTGAAAAATATCAAAATATATATGGCTTGCTGATTTGTTTGATCATTATATCGAAATATCGGAAACATTACACGAAAGTCATGATCCATTCTCATTATGCCGAAAGTTAAAATTTTCTGAATTAAATAATAAACGAAAATACTATCCATCACCCGGGGTTAAGCTTAAAAAGAAAATTGAGAACAAAATGCGCTAAAAGAAGCACAGTTCTCTTCCACTAAATACTTGAGAATAATCCAATCAGCAACCATCAGATTTAGTAAGCCAGCTGAACATGTATTCCACGGGGCTACTTATACCTGTCCCGTCTCCGGCAATTCTGTAGATGGTTTGGGTGTAAGATCGTCCTTCGAAGTTTGTGCGTCAGGTAGTTGGGGCATCTTGTTGTCTACAGATAACCATGCTTCACTAATTGGCGGGGACTGGACAGCGGGGCTGCGTTTGTCCTCGCTCACCTCGTCCGGTAGTTTGTCGTTTGCTGAGAATGTTGCGGGTTGTGGGGGTTCGAATTCATCGATGGCCGACTTCAGTTCTTCACTCAACGATTGTGGTAGAGGCTTCCCGGTCGACTTTGTTTCTACAGTTGTCTCTGCTAAAGCGTGACTAGCGAGAGTTATCGGAGTTTCTACTGGTGTGTGTAGTTCCACGGTTTCTTCTGGTGTCTGTGGAATTGGTGTTTTTAGCTCCTCGATTTTTGGTGTTTGCGTCTTAGCCACTTCTTTCAGTGCTTGTGGTATTTCACTTAGTGTCTGTAAATTTGTGGCTTCCTTCAGGGTTTGTGGTTCCTTAGTTTCTGGTGTCTGTGGTTTTACAGTTTCTTTTGGTATCTCTGGTTTCTCGGTTTTTGGTGTCTTTGGCTTAGCTACTTCTGTCGGCGTTTGCTGCTTCTCAGTCTCTAGTGTTTGTGGTCCTGCAACCGCTTTCGGTGCTTGTGGTTCTGCTTTTTTTGTAGACGCCTGTGTCTCAGTAATTGGTTGTGACTGTGTGACACTAGTGGCCGGCTGTTTGCTTTCTTTAACTGGTTTCTCGGTTGGCACCTCGATTTTTTTTGGGCGAATAACCTTCTTTTCTGAAAAAATAAGAAAAGTTGTATTTCAGAGGTATAAATGTCATTTTCATTCACCAATGTACCACTGGTCAAGACAACTGAGTTTACGCGTCAATTATAAGTAAAAACAGATCATTAATTTTGCTGATGATAGTCTTCAAGAATTTCTCTTAAAGTGTACTATGAGTGTCCGTTTTATCTTCAGTAATAGACAGATTAATGGAATAGCTATAGTCTCACCTTGAGGTCCGACTCCAACTAATTTCCTAGCAAAACTAAGGGACGGACCCCGCAATGAGGCTCAGTCAGTCAGTCAGTAACAACGTAGAACATCGTACGTACGTACATCAGTTCGAGTTGCCACACCACATTAGCACAGAGATGCAGTGGTCGATTCAAATCCCGTAGTGGTAGAGGTAGCAAGAGTATAAGCAGTAATCGGGAAGATTAGGGTTTGGAGATGTTATTTAAAGAGTATAATCCAGTGAAAGAAATTTGGAAAGAGGGAAAAAGGGACATGAAGAATTCAGAAGATTAGAGTTTGGGAGAACACAGAGAGTGGATGCACCTGCGCCATTGCGAACGATTTTGAGCCATGTCATTCAGGGTCTCTAACCATCGGTTGCTGTCATCTCGCGGTCCCCAACCAGGTAGTCTACACCTACCGACATGACTCAGTTCACTTGTCAGTGACTTCATGGACTTGAGCCATGTTTTGGTTTGGCCGCCCCTAGCTTTCTTCCAACCTACTCCTATACCACTGAACATAGCACGTCGAGGCAGTCGGTCGTTGGCCATACGTAACACGTGTCCCAGCCATCTCAACTGATCAAGTTTCACTACGTCATCAATTGATTTGCCATCCTTACCTAGTACCCGTTTCCTAACAACTGTGTTACTTACTCGATGGTCCCATGATATACGAGCAATGTTTCGAAGACACCTATGATCGAATACTAGTAACCTACGGATATCCTCTACTCTTACCGGCCATGTTTCACTGCCATAAAGAAGGACGGAACGAACTGCTGCGCAGTAAACACGTCCTTTGGTTGATAGACGGATATCTCGCCTACGCCATAAATGACGCAAGTTGGCAAAAGCTAGTCGAGCCTTCTGTATCCGTGCTGAGATTTCGTCACACACCAAACCACAAGGGCTGATGAGACTTCCAAGATAAGTGAAGCGGTCTACACACTCAACTACTTCACTCCCTATCACTAGTTCGGGTGTCGATGTAACCCAATCCTGAAGCAACATTTTGCATTTCGAGGGAGAGAATCGCATCCCGAACATGCTTGCATTGTTGCTTAGAGTGGTCAGAAGACTCTGCATTTTGTCAGCGTCTTCACCAAATAAAACTATGTCATCAGCATATTCTAAGTCAACAAGTGAACCTCCTGGTAGAAGTTCAACCCCTGTAAATTTAGATGAGGAGAGTGTTATCTCTAAAGGTACGTCAATGACAAAGTTGAACAAGAATGGGGAGAGTGGACAGCCCTGACGAACACCACTTGAGGTGATCAATTCTGATGACAGTTCGCCATAAGCTCTCACTCTACCAGTTGTGTTCGAGTAGAGAGCCTTTATAAGGTTAATGTACTTCTTTGGTACTCCTTTCAGTGACAAACACTGCCATAGAACCTCACGATCAACGGAGTCGAATGCCGCCCTAAGGTCGAGAAATACTACCATTGTGGGGCGTCTGAATGTGTGTCTGTGTTCTAGAACCTGACGTAGTGTGAATATCTGATCTATACAACCACGTCCAGGTCGAAAACCGGCCTGGTTTTCTCTAGTCTGCTCTTCACGAGCTTTAGTTAGGCGTCGAAGTATGATTGAGGCTAATATTTTAGATACTATATTTGTTAAACTGATTCCTCTGTGATTGTCACAAGAGGACTTTTGTCCTTTCTTAAAAACTGGCACAATCAGTGATTGAGACCAGTCAGATGGGATTACGTCCAGTTCCCAAATTCTACCTAAGACCTCAGTTAATCTTGCTGCTAATACTGGACCACCATCCTTAAAAATCTCAGGAGTAAACCTGTCAGGGCCTGCTGCTCTCCCTCGTTCAGGGCTACTGATAAACCAGCTGTATACTGCCGTCACATCAATGGGATATTCATTTTAGTAGACCAGAATATTAATAGAAAATTACCATTGAATTAGTCTAACAGTGTATACCTGGGAATCGATTTTACTGACGAGTACGACAGTAAACTAAATTTCATTGACATCTCATAACGCAGACGGAGTAACGGCTCGTTAAGCAGAAGCGAAGATAGGAAGAGCTCCTCCACCCGTTGGTATGTACACTTCTATCGTTTCGCACTCATCCGTTGCTAAAGAAATCCGGTTAGATGTCTTACAAGCAGACGAAAAAATATTTATTCAGAGAGTACAGTAAGGGAAAAGTTCATCAATGGCACACTGACGGAAAAAAGGTACTGGAGAAGCTTTACAAAGAAGTGCATATATGGGAGGAAAAATAAGTTGGAACTCCTTGTAAAGATACAATTCAACGGGGATGTTATTGATAGATTGGCGAGGGCAGTTAATATGATATTCTACTGAGCTAATCTTACATTATCAGTTGGGAGGGGGTTGGCGCGTAGCATATCGTGTATTACTGTCAAGTTTCGGATAACGCAAATCAAATAATTTTCTAGTAGGCGAGTAATGTCTTCTGAAACGAAGTATAAGTTACCTGAGTTTGTCTCTTCTACGTACAACTACAAATTCAGCTACTTTTGCGGAGATCGATATATTGGGGATACTATCAGGCAACTTGACCAACAAATGAATGAACATCTCCCAGCTTGTTTTGGAAACGGCAAGACAAGGACAATACACAGTTCTATCATGGCACACCTGTTTGGCGGCGGTCATATAATTTCAAGTGTTCTGTCGTATGCCTCCGTCATTTTTGACGGTGTTCGATATTGTCTCCTACATAAAGCGGAAGTTATGGTGAACCCATAACCCCATGTGCTCAGAAGAAATTCACACTGCCCCAGTCGTTTCCTTGGCTGGATATGACATAATAAGTGGTTTCATTCATTTGTCCTCACCCCATGTTTTTCTGTTATTTCTCACCTTCCTGTTTATGTTCTCCACTATTTAATTATTTACAAACTACATAATCTGTGTTCTTGGTTATTTTATCTATTTATCCAAGTTTGGCCTGCTTCCTATATCGAACTATTGACTAAAACTTCCATAAATTTATAAAAATCACTGCTAGTACACCTGACATCTTGCTATCGATTTGTACTTTTGACCTATTATGTGCAGTTATCCGATCTATTTCATAGTATTCATTGACCTATAAATTGGCCTAACAGGTTTAATACTTCCGTATGTATATTTATGCATATCAAAGTAAACCTGGTGACGATCTGAATATGAACTATATTTTCCTCTCATATGTGTTGTTCTGTTTTCCACTGTTATTACTTACTGTTACATTTCGTGGAAGGGCATAGGTCACCCACCAGCATTCTCCGTCAAACTTTGTCCTGGGGAATCTTTTCCATTTGTTTCCGACTGCTATTCTTTTGATGTCTGCCTCCAATTCTTGACGCATTGTGTTCCTTTGTCTTCCTCTTCCCCTTTTCTCTTCAGGATTCCAAGTTAGAGCTTGCCTCGTGATGCAGTTTTATGATTTCCGCAATGTGTGTCTTACGCACTTCTAACGTCTTTTTCTAATTTCCCATTTAGCTGGAAGCTGGTTTGTTCTCTCCCACAGTAGGCTGTTGCTGATAGTATCCGGTCAACGGATCTGGTTTATCTTATGTAGACAATTGCTTATAAATACTTTTATCTTTTTGATGATGGTTGTAATAGTTCTGTCTTGAAGTTCATATTGAAGGTTGTGACTTTGATATTGGTTGACAGTTGTTTTGAGTTTCATGCGTTCTTCAATGGATGCTGTCCTTACTTTTCTAATCCTCACATTTACGCTTGCATCAGATCCTCTTAGTTTGTCGATATTGCGGCCCAGATTTTTGGAATTTTCCATCTCTTCCAGCGTTTCTCCATCAAGTGTGATTGGGTTGGTGTTCTCCGTGTTGTATTTCAGGATATTGCTTTTTCCCTTGTGTATGTGGGGAGTCCTACTGACGCAGAGGCTTCTGCTACACTGACTGCTTTCACCTGCATTTGTTCGTGTGCATGGGACAGAAGGGTTCGGTCAACCTCCTAGTCAAAATCGTCTAGTTGCATGCGGGCTTTCCATTGTATTCCGTGCTTTCTCATAATCCAGTCTACCACTAGAAGAAAAAGAAAGGAAGAGAATAAGCAGCCTTGTCTAACACCGATTTTCAGTTGGAATGTATCTGTCAACTGTCCTTTGCACTTTAATCCGATGTATGATCTCCTTTCACCTGTATATTGATGAGTTGTCCTTCTTTCCAGTCCATCGGCATTTATTTTTCCTCCTAACTTTTCCTGAATAATGTGGAGCATGTTTGCAGTTACTTCTCTGCCTGAATTCCATGTTGTCAAGTCCTGATGCTTTCCCACTCTTGATTTTTCCGATGGCTATCTTGATTTCTGCAATCGTGTGATATCTATAAGAAGGTCTGCGTGTGCTGCTTTGATGTGTTGTGGGTTTGCTGGGGCTGGTTTTTTCAAGAGTTCCTCAAAGTGTTCTGCCCATCTGTACCTCTGTTCTTGAATCTCGGTGTTTGTCTTGCCTCCTTTTTCATTGACTGGTTTCTTTGGTTTACCATAATTCCTTGTCAGTTTCTTCGTTGTGTCATGTAGTTGTCTCATATTTCCTTCTCTTGAAGCTTCTTTTCTGTCGTTGCTAGCTCTTCTGCGTATTTCTGGTTGTCGGCTTTAATGCTCCACTTCACTTGCTTGTTTGCTTCAATGTATTCAGCGTGTGGCTTGAATTTCTCTAGCATTGTTCGGCTGTTGTTAATTTCTGTCTTCTTGTACTTACTTTCTTGAATCTTGTCCAGGGTTCTGGTAGAGACCCATTCCTTTTGATGATGCTTGTAGAGTCCCAACACCTCCTGACACGTTGAAATTAGTGCTTCTTTGATCCCTATCCAATTTCCCTTCATAGTAATTTCTTCTTCTTTTAGTACACCATGTAAGGCTTGGAACCTGTTGTTGAGGGCTACCTTGAATTAGTTGTTTGTCAGTATCTCGAAGGAAGTCTGTACTGAGCCTTTATAATACTGTCTCACCAGTGTTTCCAGTGTTTCTTTAGCTTCAGTTTCATCTTGGTCACAACCAGGTGGTGATCTGAAGTTATATAAGCTCCTCTCCTGGTTCTCACATCTCTCATAGTCCTGAATTCTTTAGTGATACAGATATGATCGGTCTGGTTCTCTGTAGTGTAATCTAGTAAGACAAATGAAGCTTTGTGTGTGCGTTTGTGGGGTAATATTTTGCAACTTATAACCAGTTTGTTGAATGCACATAGATTTGCGAATCTTCCACCACTCTCGTTTCTTTCTCCTAGTCCATATAGTTCCATGACATCTCCATACCCGGTGTTGTACATTTCGACCGTGGCATCTAGGTGACCTATCAGGATGGTCAGGTCCTTTACTGGGAACGTCTCTACGCTTGGCTACAGTATCTCGTAAGATGGATCTTTATCGTCGTCGTTGCCATCATTGGTGGGTGTATAATATTGGATAACATTCATTGTGATTCCTATCCTACAAGTGCATTACGTGCTTCTTTTGTCAGCATGAGAGCAACTCTCTGAGTGTTGGAGCATTTTCTTCTTTGTGACCAAAGTACAGCAGCATCTCTCCCGAACCTAACCTTTGTTGTCCAGCTCGGGTCTAATGGGTTTCACTGATTCCGAAAACTGTCAAATTGTATCTCCTCCCGGTCCCCCACATCGTCTGGACACTCCGTGCTCCTATATTAATTGTTTCTGTGATTGCTAGAAGGGGTATCGGTCTTGTGACTTCCGAAGAATTTCGGCCTTCACCATGAAGCGTCATTATTCGTCTGAATGAAAATCCTTCAACTCGGAGGATAGAGTTTAAATGGGTAAATTTGTTCATTCTGGTTAGTGTATATTCTGGCAAGGTTGTTTTCCACGAGATGGGGTTGCTGACCCCATCCTCAACCCTCCTCCTTTATCCGGACATGATACCCTCTAGAAGTTAGATTACTTTAAATCATATTCTTACAATAATTCAATGTTGATCTATGCATTATTTCTACCTAACTGCCATTAGATTTATTTGCATTAATTTATATAGATAAATAGTTTTACAGGTGGACATTTTGTTTATTTTGGAAATACGCATAGTAATTTCTCAAAATCGACCGGATTGACCCAAATCGATTCATTGTTCATCTTTACCAAAATCTCGTTTCATAATTTTTATTCTCCCATTTCAATTTTTTGTTTTTGAAACCATATTCTTTACATCTAATCTTTTCTACTATTATGATGGTTTTATTGTTTTCCTTGATTCGCGATTCATTCTGTTAAATTCGTCATGTTCTGATATAGTACAGTAACTAAGGTCATTGCATATTTATTTCAGGTTTTATGAGAACTGGTCGTCATGTGTTAGAAAATACACAAAAATTAATGTCAAATTATACAACAACAAAAAAGCATTCGTTTACAGTACAATCTACTATTACTAATTGACTTTGATAACGGTAATTAATTTCAGTCCCTATACTTATTTATTCTGTTGATGATTGCTAATCTTACTAGGTAGGTTCGCACTCTGAATTAATTAAGCCTGTAAGATGGTAGAAACTAATTGTCAGATAACGTAAATAGTATATTGTCGAATATCCCATTCAGTATTTATCATGTAAATTATGGACACCTTATTAGTTAGTCTCTTGTCATTGTTTTATTCTCAGTATTAAAGAATGTATGGAAAATTGAATATATGTAGTTTATATACAAGATTCTATAAATTTTCACTCTGTTTAAGTTGGAATTATGTTCATAATAACGTTATTTAATTAAAATCATTGAGAAGATTTGTAGCTCACGTGGATGATTTTGATGGAGGTTTGTTCTCTGAGCTCGATGACTAGGTCGTGACCATCCAGCTCAGAGAACAAAACTCCATCAAAATCATCCACCTGAGCTACAAATCTTCACCATCTCAAAATCATATGAGCGTAGTACGCTTCTGGTTGTTCGAAAATGAGAGAATTTTGCCGAAAGGTAGGCTTCCACTGGAGAACAACTGTATTTTCTCCACGAGTGTCTTCGTCAGCATGTTCTACCAACAAGTGTAAGATATAGACCTCCAATCAACTGCCCATGGGGATGGATAATAACTGAGCAAAGTGAAAGAAAAATGGTACACCTAATGATAACGGATACACATTACAGGATCCCTAAATACCAACACGTCATAGAGGACCAAAAGATGAAGCTACAAAGGACACTTACGTCATAACACTTGAAAATCTTGACAACAGCCATAGAAATATCATACAAACGGCACAGAGAGCAAAGAAGAAACACCCTAAACACGACCAAACTATCCAGCTCAGTGAACAAAACTCCATCAAAATTAAAATCATCTAAATACACATGAGTCTGTGGCATTTATAATCAAATCAAATGACATTATTTGCATATTATAAGATTAGAAATTCATTCATATATTCGTACGTAATATACTAGTTAAATGTTGAAATTCTTGAGTTATTTAAAGTTTGTCTTAATTGTTTTTTAGATGTCATATTTTACCTAGTATTAAAGTGAAATATAAGAAAAATAGAGTTTTCAGTTTGATAAAGGCTTTTTTCCCAAAGAACTTCTAAGTAAAAATTGTGTTTTTGATTGAGTATGTAGAGCTGTTAGGTCCCGATAAGCATAATGAATGGTAACTTTAGAATCCTTTTATGGACCAATATTAAACGTATATTTTTATCGTATAATTGTTAAATAACTAAACTATTCATATTCCTCTTATTGTAAACTTTATTTTGACCTATGAACCATTATTATACGTTTAACCATTCTTGAATTATGCCCTGTCTATTAGTCACTGCCTCCCACATTCACAGCTACATTTGGCCAAATTTTGTACAAATGTTATTTTCTTTTTTATGGTACGTTGTGGTCTGTTTGATTGGTATATAAACTCAGTATGTTTGAAATATGAGGATTCATATTGCAGAGGCTGAGACTGATGTTCTGGACTTGAGTGGCTGATCTAGGCGGAAAGCAGGACCAATCAGGACTCTAGGCTGCTCGCAGGTGTTTTACGCGTCCTTGGTTCGATCGATAATTCGCTGTTTCTGATTGGCGGCTTTGGGCCATAACAGGAGCAGAAATGATTAGATTAATTTATGCAAGTCCTACTCACTACTTTCTCGTGGCGGAGCTGTTGTTTACGAGGTTGTGAGGGAGAAAAGTGAATGTCCGGCGCTTTAACCGGGTTGGTGGATATAATGGATTTACCTAGGGGAGTTGGAAAATATTGATTCCAAACTATGGGTGCATCGAAGGTTTCAAGTGTTGTTCCATAAGAAAACCTGCTTCGGTCTGGACACCCGGGCAGTAGCATAGCCTACACACAAATCAAGTGACTTGTGTGGCGCATATGTATTTAGTGCCCCAATGTACCAATATTTATGCGTTCAAACAAATAAATAAAATAACTTATGCCATCACAATTCCTTGAAAAAATTGATATTTCAAGTAGACAGGTCATATAGAACAGATTCTAATTAATATAGCTAACTGTGAATTATCATGACATCAAATTTCCATGAAATATAAATGAATTAATGACCTGATTGTTCAGTGGCATGCAATGAAACATTAATTTGTAATTGTTTAGAAATTCGTGCATTACCATGAGATACCTGCTTTAGGCAAAAATAATTGATGTGGATTTGTGATCGGACATCTGACTACTGATCTATAATATCAATCAGGGTAGTAAAATCACACTAGTGGTGATAAACATATTGAAAATTCCATTAATTAATTTCGGTGGAGTTTTGTTCTCTGAGCTGGATGGTTTGGTCAGAGAACAAAACTCCACCAAAATCATCCACCTGAGCTACAAATCTTCTCCACCATCTCCATTAATTAATATCTAATTTAAGAGTACAATACAGAATAGTTATTCAAATTCTGGAAATCATTTATTTATTATTATTATCCTTTAAAATAGTAAACAGTACTTGAAATATGTTTGACTATGTGTACTTACCTATAGGTTGTGGGGTGCTTTTTTCAACTTTTGGCTCCAGTTTCAATGGTTGTTGTGTAGAAGCTAGTTGTGATGGTGGCGGCGGTGTTTGATGTCTTGGCTTATTCGCAGTTAGTTTGCTCGTTGGATTTGCATCTTTCTGAGCAGGCGCTTTTTTAACAGCAACAGCAGTATTAGTTGAAGGTGTAGTTGTTGACGATGGTTGTACGGGTGGTGAATGTGAATGGATATTTAATGTCGATGACAAAGTGTCTCGATTTCTACGGAAATAATATTCACTTGGTAATTTAAGTAGGTCAATATAATCACTGTCACACATTCCTTCACCAGTAATGGGATTTCGAATAACTAAAAAAATAAAATTAGTTCCATAGTTTAATTAACCAAGTTGAAATAGCGAATATTATATGTGTCATGAACAACGAATTTATACTCTTTATATTTTTTGTTGAATTAGCATAGTTAATTATTTTATCTCATCTATAATAAACCTAGATGATTGTTAAAATATTTCGTTAAAGATTTTACGATATATATATATATATATATATATATATATATATATATATATACTGTAGGTTATTTCCATAATGGATTTTTTGTGTCAAGCATAATACTTCGTCTATTGGTAAAGTTAAATAGCGACTAGCTGGGGAGTCAAGGACAAGCATTTCGTTCTATCCGAGACTCATCCGCTGGATGTATCTAGATTTGAGTTTTGGTAACATATTGAGACTTAAACCCAGAACCATTATTTTCAAACACTAATGTGTTATTCTTTCAGCTGCTGAATTCAAGTGACCACTAGCTTGTGTGACGTGTGTGACTTTGCTAGGATTTGTATTTTCTCGTCTGTTGGTGTTAGGAACTACAATCTTATTGGTTCCTATTGAGATATGTGCATCTTGAGCGGATTTCCCTGATATTATCATTTAGTTACAAATATTTAACAAAGTAGGATGGTGACTAGCAGTGAGGTTCAGGAAAAGTATTTGGTCCTATTTGAGATTTATCAGCCGAATGTATCTGCATCCCAGTGTTGCTGTCCACGCTGTGACTTCATCACATCAATTATGAGAAAGTACAAACCCTTAGCACACCACTGATGATTTACATTGTTTTAAATATATGAATGAGATTTGGTTAAATTTATTGTAGATATGAAGTCGTTTATTAAATTTCACAATATCATTTTCAGAAGTAACGTTGTCAGTGGTATTTTAAGACTAATTGTACTACAATCAAACACAAATTGTTGAAACTCGCTGACTAATTTTAATGTACCGAAAACCCAGACTATGAACTCTTTTTAAATATTAATGCCAAAAATGCTTTCAAAACTAAAGAAAATATTTACTTCATACACCGTAACTTTACAAAACTGATTTCACTAATAAACATGTCTGATGATAAGTAGAAAGAGTACCACTAATTCTGTTTATGTACGAATATTTTATAATTCATTCATGTAACCAACTTCCACAATATTTCAAGTATTTAGGTGTGCAGAATGTTATTATACGTCGTTCTGAGACTTTAGATTTAACCATTTATTAGTCAAATGTTATTATTTGATAGATAGATTATAAATCATTTGCTTAAAATGTTTCCTATTGTATCGAGACACTGACATCAAGTGAAAATAACTAACTAGAAATAAGCAAAATTCCTTAGTTTCATATGAAAGAAAACTCAATCGTGTTATAGAATAGATAGATTGTGGCTTGAATTGAAACACAGGAATTATATTTTGTTCTATTTGGAACTCGTCAGCTAACAATTTACCTGTACCATAGTAGTGACTTTCACACTAGGACTCGCCTCGAATTTCGAACGTATAATCTACTGAGGTACTAAGCCCTAGTTTGTCCAATGGGTATAAACTTTACTTTTAGGGGTTTGAATTATCCTGTTGTTGTAGTGACTGGTCACCTAGATGTATCTGCGACAACAATGGGATAGTTCAAGCCCTCACAAAGTAGAAAAATTGTGTTAGTTTACTTAAAATACTTCTAATAACATAGTTTTGCAATTGCAATTAACATACCCTTTCGTAACTTTCTACTCTCTGAAACTGCAGACACATTGCCTATAGTCACTTCATTGAAATCTCCGATTGTCGATGTTTCATCGTTCAGTCCAATTGATGATTGATCAGAAGATATATTTTTCTGTTGATGTGTAATTGGATTAGTATTCGCTGAATCGATAAATTCGAATACGGAAAATATTCATTTTATTTCAGACAATTGTTATATTATTTTGAATTAGTCGTTATACAATGTTAGGTATCAATAGAGCACAGAAAAGTGGCAAAACCTTGGATTAAGCGGCGGCTTGGAATAGAATACATGTGTTAAAACCATATAATTCAAGTAAAATTTTAGAATTTATTAACTAGATTGACATTTCAACCTGGAATTTTATGCTTACTGTAATCAAGGCCAGGATTTTCAATACAAATGTCAAGACAGTTCTACTATATGGGGCGGAAACCTGGAGAACTACAAAAGCCATCATTCAGAAAATACAGGTGTTTATTAACAGTTGTCTACGCAAAATACTTCGGATCCGTTGGCCGGACACTATTAGCAACAACCAATTGTGGGAAAGAACGAACCAGATCCCAGTGGAGGAAGAAATTAGGAAGAAGCACTGGAAGTGGATATGACACACATTGAGGAAAGCACCCAACTACGTCACAAGACAAGCCCTCACATGGAATCCTCATGGCCGAAGGAAAAGAGGAATACGAGATCACACATTACGCCGAGAAATGGAGACAAACATAAGAAAAATGTACAAAAATTGGACAGAACTGGAAAGGAAGGCTGCGGACAGAATGGGGTTGGAAAATGCTGGCCGGCGGCCTATGCTCTATTGCGAGTGACAGGCGTAAGTAAGTAAGTAACCATAGATGATCAGTGCTATGAAAACTCCCTATGTTCGAATATTTATAACTTACGCTTGTCTTCTCATTTCATAATGTTATTCACTTTTCTAACCTTACTTTCAATCGTCAATGACTTAAAATACCCGAATCACAGGTAATCGATAAACACTGATAAGCTGTTTCACTATAGTCTAGGACTCCTAATCAATACACATATATAACTTCAAATAGATAAGGTGTCCGTAGACCACCTAACGGACTATTATTTGTATTTGTGTTTCACATTGTTACTGACTGACCGACTGACTGTTTCACGATTAACAGCCTCTAGATGGATTTATCTTGTGAGAATTTGCGACCTATGGAATTAACTCATTCACAAGTTAGGAAACATATAAACGAATTGTTTAAAGTTGAAAATGTTATGCCGTGTTCAACATCAACCATGAAGGTATTTGTTTTGATTCCAATTTAACGGATGCCACTTCAATAATAAAAACTGAACATACTTCCAGGAACCACCTGACTGAACAATGTAAATTACTATAGTTATTTTAATTTTTGTCTGATAAACTTTCTACGGTTTGTTAGTTACTAGCAAAATTATTCATAAAGCATTACCATCAATGAATGATAACTGAAGCAGAAAGAAAATATTCAGGATTACTTAAATGAAATTTTATATGTAAGTCTTTACTATATTGAAACACAAAAATAGGATTTTCAACCACGGTTTTTCTCATACCAATCCATGTAAGTTCAAATTTATAGACCTCATATTTCTAAACAGGCTATTTATAAACTAGACTATAAGACATTAATAAAACAGTGACAAATTAACAGTCATCTAACTATTGAATTATCATTGATTTCATCCATGAAATAAATTCCACTGATTGAAATCATGAGTCAATTGAAGCTAGACCACCATGGAAAACCTGGAAGCAGTGGACGGCAGTTTCGTGACTAACTTCATGAGATACTCCTGGAGTTCTAGTGGGAAGCCGTTACCAGTGGAGTTCAACCAGGTCTGTTGTGAGATATCAACTCACTGAAGACAATGGTGTAAGGTGGCGCAACTTCGTGGATTGGTTGAAGTTAGACATTAACACCGTTGGATGCCGGCTCAGTGGTCTAGTTGGTTAAGCGCTTGGCGCGAGACTGATAGGTCCTGGGTTCGGATCTCGCGGGGTGCGGGATCGTGGATGCGCACTGCTGAGGAGTCCAATACTAGGAAGAGTTGGCCGTCCAGTGCTTCCAGGTTTTCCATGGTGGTCTAGCTTCATTGACTCATGATTTCGGTCAGTGAAATTTCTAAATTCTCCACAAAACCCCTTCTGATGATCTTATTTTGACTAAGTAATTGTTCATATTCTAAGTTCAGTTAACAAATCAAGCATTCATTGAGTTCTTTTCTTTTCTTTTTTTTCACACAAAATAATTATTTACTGGATAAGGATAAAATCATCAAAATGAACAGCTAATTTATTTATACGAGATAAAATATAGTTCTTATTGATATTTGTTTCTATGTCTTGATTATAGTTCATGTTATTGAAGCCAATATTAGTTCAAGGTTAGTCAGAGTATACAGATCGATTTACCAAGATACCATTGTTTACAAATTCATTTTATTTCGTTTTCAATATAATGTGATAATTCCAGCCAACTATGTTTTTCACATTCACCATACAAATGATCATCAATAAATGGTTTTTCATATTTTATGTTTACTTCTCTAGACTGTATTTTTTAAAATTAGTTCGTTATGCCTACTTGGTTTGAACTGATCGATTAGATTTCATAGTATACAACACAGATTGATCTTAATTAAATAACCATTGAAAAGCATGGAACACTGGAAAGCTACTTTGTCTTAGTATGGAACTCCTTAGCGATGCACATCTACGACTCCACCGGGTATCTAGCTGAAACTTTTCAAATTTGCATCGAACTCTTAGCATTCAAACGTTTGAGTCGTCAATGATTAACGGTTTTAAATGTTAATAAAATTAAAGTGGTAAATTTTGTCGATACTGACGTTCTATTTAAATTTCTCAGTAGATATTTGTTCATAGTATGAAGCCGTGAGCTAGTGGTTAAATCACCCGATTTTCATTTAACAGGTATTAGGGTTGAACCACTCTCTAGTGGCACCGCTATTTGTTGCATAGACAACTGAGTAAACAGTATCTGTACTTGATAAATGAGCTAAAATATCTGTTAATAATGAGATTTAAAGAATTATTTACAATTCAACCGATGTATTCTTTGTATGCCTGTTTAACGAATAGTGCGAAAAAAGAAGACTAAGTCAGTCCATAACTGATTCAATTTAAATTTGATATTATTATACATAATGGCTATGAATAGTCTTGACATATAATAATAAACTCATACAGTGGTTATAGTCAGTAGTACTAACTGCCAGTGAATCTACATCTACAGATTTATAATAATTACCTTTAAACAAAGTATAATCAGTATGATATCTAATCTGTTTAAGCAATGGTCACATTGGGACTTCGTCGATAGAATTCGATCATCACTAAGTCACCATTTAAGGATCAGGGAATAAGAATGGTAGAATGAAATATTATAAAGATTGATTTAAATAATATGATATGTGAACATTTTAGTTTAACCCATTTTTGTTGGGTTATCATGGTTTAAAATGTTTGTTAATAGATAAACAAAAGTTAGTGTTTTAAGTGTATATTTATACTAAAATGACTTGGTTAATACAATATATTAATATAATTAAGATAAGGTGGGATAAAATACAAAGGCGTGTATGTACAATTACAGATATATATATATATATATATATATATATATCACAAGGGTTAAGGCATTAACAGATTATATTTTTCTCTAATTAGAGGTAGTTGGTAGTTCTCCACTTATCGTTTTAGTCAGTTAGGAATTAAGGTGACCATAAGAATCTATTTGTTTTCTAGAGTAATACCTTTTTTTTGTAATTCACGTTTACTTGGTTTTCGAACTTATGATTTCGGACAAGTCACGTAAACTGAATTAAACACCTTTTTCACTAAAGTGTCATCGTTAAAAAAAATAGGTAGTTCTTGATTATTGAACGTATGTGTTTAATTAACATTTACATTCATACATAAATTTATGGTTATGCAGTCACTAGATATACAATCTACACAGTCCATCACTGAAAGTAGTGAACCGTTTGTCGATAATTGAGACCGCAAACCGATTAAATTTAGATAGCTATTAAAAACAAGAAAGACCTGGTGTAGGACTCTTCTGAAGTGTTCATCCATGACTCTATCAAGCAATAAACCCGGAACCTTCAGGTCTCGTGGGGAGAGCTTAAAATTAGGATCACTGAACCGGGATCCAATAGTTTTCATATCTAGCTGCAATCAATTCCGGACATTATTGTGAGACCTGAAGGTCCTGTGTCTAGTTCGTGGTGCGGTCGTGCATGTGCATTGGTGGGTTTCATATTGGAATGAAATAAATGTTTAGTGTTTTCTGGTTTTCAGTTGGGTTGACACGTCATTATTCCATACTTAGTGTTTGATAGTTTAAATTTCTACCAAGAAATACACCATTTAGTAAGAAATAACCTAAGAGTTTCTTTATATACATTTATTTATTCATTTCTTACTTCCATTTGTGACTTTACATAAAGTTACAATTGAAATCTGAATACACAAAAGTGTACTTTATAAATGAATTACATTGAAAATCAATTTGTCTACGTAATGCACTTCAGGATGATAAAAGTTTTACTGAAACTAAATTAGTTTTGTATATGGTACACCTATTAATGATCTAATTGAATTGTATAATAACTTTATAACTAATCATTTGTGGATTAGTTTTCTGACTTTTTATTGATTTACAGTTTGTAAGAATAAATCTTTCTGTTATCTTTGAGGTCACTCTTCTGTTTTCTGGTAAAGAATTTTAATGATAACTATGGTGATAATCATTCGTTTGATTACAATTTTTTATTTTTATACTAACCAAAATTAAATTGATCTCTAGTCATTATAATCATTACAAATTGTCGAGATGTATCGCTTAAAATGTTTTAAATGATAAAATGATAAGGACCTTAATGTCTCTTGGTGATTGTGATTTAGCATTCTTACTTAGTTGTTCGATTTTCTATGGATACAGAAGCAGTAAATATGTGATATTTGTTATATCACTAGTTAAATGCAGTTAAAAAGTATATACCACTGAGTTCTAACTCAGAGTTAGTGATGATTCTTTTTTGGATCACTTGTTAATTGATGAATGCACATTCATAAGAAATTCAAAACCAAGATGACAAAGCAGTTCACTGCTGTCTAGTTTTCTCTGGTCCCCAAGCTTATGTTAGTCTGTAATGGAAGACAACTTTAAAAATGTTTTGAACTACAATCCTCTGGTCTCCTTTTCTAGATGACCCACCATACGTGGTTGTTAATTAGATCTTACGTCAACTTTAGTGTATAAACCTGGTCGTTAATGAAATCTTGTTCTAAGGAATATAATGATCTTCACGTAATGTTATTTCAGTTAACTGACTTATGAAAGGTAGAACAAAGCTTGAGTAGTAGCGTATATTTATATATATATATATCAGAAGGGGTTTTGTGGAGATTTTTTAGAAATTTCATTAGTTGAAATCATGAGTCATTTGAAGCTTGACGAACATGGAAAACCTGGAAGCATTGGATGGCTGTTTCGTCCTAGTATGAAACTCCTCGGCAGTGAGCGTCCACGATCCCGCACCCCGCGAGATTCGAACCTAGGAACTATTACACCTGGGGTAATCCTGGGAATAATACACTAGTCAACAGCTATCAATTGATATTGTAATAGTAAAGAGTAAACAGAAGGTTGAGTTAATGATTTTATTCACTAAAAGAAATCCGATTGATGAATCAACAAACGAACTATTTTTCAAAAAAGTGCCTTTTTATCGACATAACAGAAGCATCTTAAAATAATTTTTAGATTACTCCTAAGATATATGAATGTTCCACATAACAACTGTTAGTTTAATTTTTATGGAGATTTTAATTTAAGCTAATTGTTTATGTATGATCGTTGGAATTATTTAAATTCATACTACTCATAATGGAAAATTAGCATATTTGTTAATTGACAACAGTTTCTCAAAAGATAAGAAGAACAACTCGGAAAATGATCAACTGACGAGGTTTAAATGTTAGATCAAGTTAGAAATAAATAATCTTTCTACATAAGTTTGATGTCACTAGTGACACTTTTCTGATTCTGTAGGAAACGATGAGAAAGTTGGCTTGTTTTACAAACTTCTTATGATGTCTATTAAAATAATTATTATAAATGACGATTAGGAAATGCACCAAAAACCAAATTTATTTTTACTTGGAGTATATAACAGGAAAAAAATGTATATATATATATGCTGGAAGTACTTAGTGGTGATTTTCACTATTTTTCAAGGGTGAATATCATAGTCAAGTGATTGAATTGAACATTTATTCAAGTAAACATTCGGATTTTAAACAGAACTGGTTAACTAAACATGAGAGCTTTTACAAGGCAAAGATTAAATACTGACATTGGCTTTTTGGTTAGCTCTAGCTCTGAATTGAATTTCTTAAACAAACCTCTAAGGGTATTGAATTTAGATATTGAGGCAGTGCATGTCGGTTGGGGACGATGCTGCTGCCGATGATGATTAGTTGATAATCGATGAGTCACGGGATCTATAGAAAATAGTAAATTGTAGTTTATATAACTGTTTATAATCAATGTAATACTTGAAGATAACCTGATAGTTCGTTAAGCATATTGCTTAAAAATATACAGAAATAGTGATCGTGATATCCAATCGAGTTATAATTAAAAGTTGTCTATTTTAGACAGTTTAACGTTACAAGCTTTCAGTATTAATAAAATACAAGCTAGTTTCTTTTATTTGAAAATAAGTTTTAGATACACACAATCACCTGAGAACTAACTTTCTTCATAATGTATATACACTTTGATGTACTCAAATAGTTCAGCGATAACATCTCTGATTATAACTATGGGAGTGGATTGAACTCAAACTCTACTGGTGAACATCAGTTTCCTCTAGAGTGCAGTTACACATTGATGACGAGTGCAAACCAACACGAAACCTACAATTAAAGCTTTTCTCAAATGACCTCTGAATCATCAATATCAATAAAATTGGTTTACACGACATCAGGTTTCAAAGAATTTTGAAGGAATAATTTTTCATCAAGATTCTCCTTATTTAATTGTAGGTGCTTGAAGACAAATGAAAGAATCCTCAGGGGTTGTATACCAAGCTAGTTGACAAATTTTAGCAAGGTGTATCAATAATCTTGAAGAGATTAAGCCACCTCTGATGTATCTATACTAGTGTTATCGAGTGTTTTAGACAGCGTTGATAATATTAAACTATTCACCTTGCAAATATACCTTTCGGATCGGTGTTGTTTACTCCAAAATCTAATTTTACATTTTCCTGTCGATTGATTTTAACTGTCAAATATCGAGATATTTTCTTTCGGTTAGCAAAAAGAGCAGAAAAATCAACCACTTTTTATGAGCTTAAAGTCAATCATTGATATGAGTTTAATACTGTTTGGTTATATAGAAATTTCCCTACTTATTATTATTACTTACATTTAAATAGATTGGCAATGATTCTTTTTGAAGATAAACAAGTTGTAACAAATGGTTACGTAATAATGAAATTTTACATAAAACATACTTTTATTGCTTGGAAAATGTTTCATTCCTCGAACTTTATCCGTCTTATATGATGTACCAGTTCTGTGCATATAACCAATTGGATCATGAGTAGCTGAAATATATTTAAACATTTATCATATTAAGATGAAAGAACAAACATAAAAACATTATACAGGAAATTAATATTCGTCATTTACCAAAGATCAACTCAGCTAGTGTAACTTAGCTAATATTATAGAGGGGTTATTTTTCTTAATGTAAAATAATTAACAACTGGTAACTGACTTCTATACCTGTTTATCATTAATTATTTCTTCTGTCTCAATAGTAAGTGTTCAACACCTAGATTACGTAAAGGAAGCAACTAACGAGTGATAACTGGTGTGTTTATTTGGTATTAAGAGTTAACCATAGATCCTTGCATCAAAGAACTCATATGAAGTTATGTTATGGTATATCACAATGGATTACTTCAGTCGCTAAGTGTATGAGGGGAGTTGTCAAATGTCTTTGAACCTTATTCTCAAACTGTTTAAGATTAATGATTAATTTAAACTATATCACGCTACGTTTTTGAATCTTCATACCAGAAAGATTAATAAAGAATATAAGAGAACAAACTGGACTTATACCTTATAACTTGTGGTTGTATTCAATAAATGTATTCACTAATGTTTGGAAACTATGTACGACTCCTACTTATGGGTAGAGTACTTTTCATCATACTTCGTCTTGTTTATTACCTAAGCGTCTATTATTTACTACACCACATCTATCTAGGGCACTCTACTGAGAAACGAAGTAAAAACGACAGTATTTGCAAAATACAATGAATTCATTGTATTTGAAGTAGTTATAAAAAACCTTGTTTTAAAACTCAACTTCTGTTACACTCCATACAACTTATGCATTATCAATTGAATTTTAACATTATATTACTAGATGAAGATAACTAAAAATATTAGATTGTATGTAATTGAAGAGAAATCAACGAAACATAGTATACCAATTAGTGAATTGGAAGTGAAATGTACTGGCAAAGTAGCGAAAAAGAGTAAGTCAGTAAATAAAGTGAAGTATTCTGGGATTTTCTTCTACTTCATTTCAAGTAATAACGACAGAATGCTCGTAAAAGATCCTTCTTAGAGTTATAGTAATATCAATGAGAAATTTAAGGCAGAAGAAAGTTCATATTTTCATTGATTCATCTTGTGGATTGTCGATCAACTAATTCTAAACTGAAAGAAAATTTTATTGACAAACATAAATGCGTGTCATCTTTCTCTAAGTTATGTTATATATTTCCATCATATTAGGACGTGCATGGAGGACAGCTGACAGATGCATTCTAAGTACGACCGGAGTAAGACAAGGCTGTTTACTCTCTCCCTTCCTTTTTCTTCTGGTGGTCGACTGGATTATGAGGACCTCGACATCTGAAGGAAAACGCGGAATAAAATGGACAGCTCAGAACCAATTAGACGATTTGGACTTCGCAAATGACCTAGTTCTCCTATCTCGTACACACGAACAGATGCAGATAAAGACAGCCAATGTAGCAGCAGTCTCTGCATCGGTAGACCTCGGCATACACAAGGGGAAAACAAAGGTCCTCTAATTCAAAGCGGAGAACAGCAATCCAATCACTCTTGATGGCGAAACTCTGGAAGATGTAGAATCCTTCACATACCTGGGAAGCATCATCGATGAACAAGGAGGATCCGATGCAGACGTAAAGGCAAGGATTGGCAAATCAAGAGCCGCATTCCTACAATTGAAGAACATATGGAACTCAAAACAACTTTCAACCAATATCAAAGTGAGAATCTTCAACACCAACGTCAAGGCAGTTCTACTATATGGAGCTGAAACTTGGAGAACTACAACAACCACAATCAAGAAGATACAAGTATTTATAAATAGCTGTCTTCACAAGATACTCAACATCCATTGGCCGGATACCATCAGCAACAGCTTTTTGTGTGAGAGAACAAACCAGCTTCCAGCTGAAGAAGAAATTAGGAAAATACGATGTAAACGGATAGGACATACATTACGCAAATCGTCAAACTGCATCACGAGGCAAGCTCTCACTTGGAATCCTGAAGGGAAGCGGAAAAGAGGAAGGCCAAAGAACACATTACGTCGGGAAATAGAAGCAGATATGAAAAGGATGAATAGGAACTGGTAGGAGCTGGAAAGGATTGCCCAGGACAGGGTTGGATGGAGAATGCTGGTGATTGGCCTATGCTCCTTTACGAGGAGTAACAGGCGTAAGTAAGTAAGTAAGTAATCATAATAGGACTTGTATTTTGGATAATCAAATAAATTTGGGATATTGACTCAATGTGTACTTTTTTATTTAACGGGTCAAGTATAAAATGAGACCAAATGTCATCTATTAGAAATTAAAATCAATTTACTGTAATGTAGGCTTATTGGTTTTGATCAAAACGATTTGGGAGAGGAGAATTAGGACATGGTGGGTTTTTATCACGTAATGTGTAGAAAGAAATCAAATTCACTTCTAAGATACTGTAATTACATGGTCTCATGATGTGGGTGTATATTAATGAAATAGGATATAATTTCTGATTGCCTTTTTTGTTTTTGGTGAACATAGACTGTATCAATGATTTTTATCAAAGATTGTTACGAAAACAACTCTACTATGTGAGAAGGACTCAAACAATATGGTAGGATAAAATGGCATAGTTTATTTAGGACGACTTAAAACATTATTTAGTAAGCGGAAGTTAATGTGCAATATTTTGTTCATAAGCTCATTAATGCATCTGCAAAACATGTAGATATTATCAACTATGGATTGAAAACGATCTGAAACTAAATCTAAAAGGTCCTTTGGACACTACGCATTGCTTAAGGCGTTTACTTATCTAAATACCGAGGCATTTGTGGCAGTGAATACTATATTTGTTCACTTATAACTTGAATCCTGGGCAAAATCATAAATTATTCATTAAAAGTAAAATGATGTATGAAAATGACTCAAAATACTGTAACCGAATTGATATCAGTAGTCAGTTAATCATTTCGTAATCCGGCATATTTTATATAGTTCATTAATAAAGCATCCATATAAAATTAATTAAAATGTCCTATCTTAATTTGTAAACCTTACCCCATGCTTCTTTATAATGTCGTACTGATTGAGATCGAACTAGTTTTGTTTCTGGCAGTGAATGAGTTATCGGATCTGTAGCAACTATGAATAAAAAAAAATAAGTATCATTCATTTATGAAATTTTAATGAAACAAAGTAAAAGACAGGATTTTACAGGACAATTACCGATAAACAAAATGATTTAAAACCTATCCCAATAGGGACAAAAGTGAAATATGTGTAGTGTTCTAGTGAATGAAAATTATCAAAGGAAAATAATTGATTTACATTTAGAGATATAACTATACTACTTTTTGATTAGTAAGTAGTATGGTCAAATAACGGCATTTTGGTTTCGGATTGTAAAAATTCTTCCAGTATCGATAAATTCACGTTATTTCATTTAACAAACTTTTTGTAAAACGAAATATATGCCTTGCAAACTTCTAGTTTGTGACTGCTATATTAATGCTTATAGGTTGGTCACCATTATTATCATTTTGCATTTTCTGAGAACCTGGATATTGTCATTTAGATATTGAATAATTAAGTATCCGTAAACAAATTTAGAGGAGAGTGAATAGATATCTTGTCCTATTTATGAACCTATAACTTTAAACATGCTGAAATTCACAATGTATTCTGTCTTAAGTCAAGTTAATGCGAATTTTCAGGATATATAAATGTATTTGTATGATTAATAGTTCAATTTTTAAAGATCTTTTAAATTTTGGCGGAATTTAAACCGGGTCTGTTGTGGTATAGTAACTCAATGAATGTGTCTCTCAATTTCGTGGATTGGTTGAAGTTAGACGTTAACACCGTTGGATGCCGGCTCAGTCGTCTAGTGGTTGAGAGTTCGCGCTCGAGACTGATATGTCCTGGGTTCAAATCTTGCGAGGCGGGATCGTGGATGCGCACTTCTGAGGAGTCACACAATAGGACGAAACGGCCGTCCAGTACAGTAAGGTTTTCCATGGTGGTTTAGCTTTAATTGACTCATGATCTGAACTATTGAAATTACTACAACCTCCAAATAAAACCCTTTTGATAGGAATAACATATGTTATTCATTTATCTTATGGATTATTATTATTTTTAGCTGTTTTGTCTATTTGAATAAGAGATTATTTTTACACTACTATAAATTCCACAGAAATATATGGTTCATTGTATAAAAGACATTAGATAAATGATTCAGACAACAATAGTATTTGAACATGACTGAATGATCGTTTCATACAGATTTTATTTATCTGTGATGATTTTAATTTGAACTATTTACTTGAAGAAGTACGAACTTGACTGATAAAGTTAATGAGTTTCAATTCATAAGAAATTTGTAAGCATAAACATTATATTAGTTAATTGAAATAATGAAATAAACAAAGAATACTTGAAAGGTAAAGGAAGCACTAATCAGGTATATGATTTGTCAGATTAATGAATGGAAAGAGAGGAAGTCAAAGAGTAAATGGAGTTTTTAGTAGTGAGAAATCAATGATATGGATTTGGTTACTGTTAACCACAAAGCTAAATTTAATTAGTTGAGTGGAAAAAGTGAAAATAAGGATACGAAACAAAATATGTTGTGTTATTTCATATAAGTTTGTTTACATTTTTAGTCTTTTTAATTATTCTTCACATTTGTAGTTTTTTTCATTAACTTAATTGGTAGTATGGTGTGTACTACTGATTTCGACAGATATAAGTAATATGTATCACCAATTGAAATTGGAGTGCCTGGAGGCAGAAGATTTGAGAGAATTGAAGAGAAGAGAACAAAGACAGAGAGTGATTAATATAGAAATGAGGGAACAATAAACTTTGAGACAATAAATGGATATTTTGCAAATGAAGTATTTACTGTATGGTTCTCAGATTTTACCAAGTTGTTGTTTTCAGTGTATTGAAATTTCAAATTTTTAGGTCTGTTTTTTAAAAATTAACTTACGATAAGAATATCTTTTTGAATTTTCTTCGTTACATTGTCTTTCATTATACTGATTTACTGAATTGTTTTCTACATTATATTCGCATCGACCACTGATAGAATCAGACCTTGCTGAAGAAAAACAAAAGACAAATAACAAGATTCATTTTTCAATTACAACTTTCAAAATATTATAGAAAGTATGTGTTTGCACTAGAAAACTCGAGCATAGGCTTTGTCTGATGTCGTTAAAAGCATTCATCAAAGAACCATGAACCTAGACTTCATATTAACTGGGACTCTTCATTAAGATATATTTGAGATGTTGTGAAAAATCATTTTGTCACATCCATTTGAACCATTGACTGATATATCTAAAAATTATAGTTTACACTGATCAGTTCTGTTACATAATTAAGGTCATCAAATTTCAGGAATCTTCAATTACTTGTCACATAAACTGATTATAATTTCTCTGTATTGATTAAAAGAAATGCGTTTTGTATCCTCGTATTCATTGATAACAATTGTACTCACTTATGATTGTTGAATAATAAAACAAAATCAATTTTTTTCATTTATTTATTGAACAGTACATAACTGATCGGAAAAATAGACTCAATCACAGTATGAAATGTTGTTGAACAATGTGAATGAGCAAGTTTTACTATGATCACTCAAATTGATTTTGTGTAAAAGTACTTAATTGTGAGATTTCTTAGATACTGGTAATTTTAAAACTGTGAATAATCTGTTAATCTTTTCAGATGAACTAAATGAATTCAGAAGGTTTAAATAAAATAGTTCATGAAGAAGGATAGTTGTAAGTATATAGTCGTGGAATGTTTAGATTACCAAGATGAAATGAAGCAAACGTATGTACCATTATGCTACATATATTATTCTGTAATATATATATATATATATATATATATATATATATATATATATATATATGTTTAAAGTATTTTTGGAAAATTATGGTGGAAACTATGGACTTACAAACATGTATGTTATGATCAATTTTATTTCTTGGCCTACCACCATGTGGTCTTAACATGTCTACTTCCTCACCTAAATCTCCTTGAAGTGTTATTGGATCACGGTCTATCAATTGGGCAATGAAAGAAGAATGAAAATATAGTGTAACATAGAAAAAAAGAATAGTAAATTATAAATGTTTGTCATTAATTTAATCAGCTAAACTAATTGGATGATTTTTTTTTATATTTCACAATGCATTTAATGGAGATAATTAGAAAGACCAAGTAATTAAGTAGAAGTTAACGTTACAATACCGATGGTTCTATTTATATACATACATCTACTAAATAAAATACTAATTTAATTCAATGTTTTATCTTGTATGATTTATATGTGATCACTGATGGTTGCCTGATTATTTCGTCTATGCTTTAAAATATTTCACTTTTGTTTTAATGTTCATTACGATAACTAATTGAGTTTTTCATTGATAATTATGTAGTAGCAAAATCTTGACTATTTGAAGTATAAATCTATATCTCTGTGTCAATGCTAATGAAGTCAAACAAGGTGTACCTGTAATCTTGAGGGAACTGGTGCTCTCAGGCGGATTCGATCTCGTGTCACCCAGCTTCACAGTCAGAGATGTTAACACTGAGCTATCCGAGCCGCGACCGACCTCCTGTAAGACTGAGATGAGAGCACCAGTTCCCTCAAGATTACAGGTACACCTTGCTGACGGGTGCCAAGTAGCACGAAACCCGAGTCCAGGGTTTTCTGTCGACTACCTCCAACCACCATCTAATCTCAATATATAGTGCCCGCAATGTCGAGTCACCTAGACTGGTGGCCACATTGCAACATGGTCGATAGCATTCGGTCCGCGCTAATAAGGACTAGACACACATGGCATTAATCGCCACCCAGCGATCAATCAATTGTGATTAAATCTACAATGTAAAACTTTGTATATGAATTTTCCGACGACCTAGTTAGATGTTAGATTATTGTCAGTGCTTAGAAAAAAGTCAACATTGCAGAGAACATTCTTTACATAGTAAAAACACATAGAAAAATGTTTGTAAAACACTCAGAGATTAGAATTAAAATGAATCAAAAATTTCTCTAAGAATTCCAGTTCAAGTTTCTTCAAGGGAAATAATCAAGCATTAACGTGTTTGGCCAAAAAAGAAGTATCAACCAAATAAATTGTTATGACTTTCTGGGTTTATTGAATTGTCAATGTTAAGTAAATAGCAAGTAGTTTTAGCATGATTGTTTAAAGTTAGATTACAATTTACTATGAACTTTGTTGAGATTAGTTCAGTCCAAGGATAGCTTTTTATAGCTAAATGACATGTTACAGGATAATTCCTCTGACATCGTAACTGTAAATATATGTAATCCCTATCGAAATATTGAAGATTTGTGTTAATGATGACAACTAGACGATACTAGGCCAGAATCAAGTGATACACTTCTGCAAATTCATCTCATTCGTAATATTGTAAGATCTTCTTCTAATTTCAATCTATTATCAGAAATCATCTTAAAACAATACAGATTTCAATAAAACACCTAAATACATAATAACTGTACGCTATTTATTAAACGCGCGTAGAAAGAAATTAGGAAGAAGCACTGGAAGTGGATAGGACACACATTGAGGAAAGCACCCAACTGCGTCATAAGACAAGCCCTCACATGGAATCCTCAAGGCCAAAGGAAAAGAGGAAGACCAAAGAACACATTACGCCGGGAAGTGGAGATAGACATGAGAAAAATGAACAAGACTTGGATGAAATTAGAAAAGAAGACCCAGGACAGAGTGGGCTGGAGAATGCTAGTCGGCGGCCAATGCTCCTCTAGGAGTAATAGGCGTAAGTAAGTAAATAAGTAAATAATTATTAAACGCCGTCGACATAAATTTCTCGAAATCCTAATCAAGTCAACCAAACTGAATGTAACACATTAAATGATAATATCGATTGAGGATTACATTAGAGTATAGAATCGTAATATTCTGTAAACGTTAGAACCTAATGTATTTTGTGAAATTTTATCCAGTTTTTTCCTTAACAAGTACAATTATTTTCAAGGTTATATTTGATATACAGATCCCTTTTTTTATTAAAAAAATCATATACATATGGTTGGTTGAACTAATTCATAGCTTTTCATAGGTATTCATTACCTTGAGTATAATCTTCATGATTATGATTATGATCATTATTATTATTATCATAATTAACATCACTGTGTTTATTTTCATTTTTGTTATTCAAATGATCCACATAAAAGTACCCATTTGAATAGTTTGTATCTGTAGTATCTAAAAAAGTATTATTATTTATGCTAAGGATAAGTAAAAATAATCAATACTGGGAACATATATATATGATGAATAAATAAATTGATAATTATGATAATAATCGATTTTAATGTAATTGATGTTGTCAGGTAAGTATTGATTTGCTCAATCACCTTATTGATTACGAAGGATTTGAATACTAGCTATAATATCTTGTTTTAGACATGTGTTTTAACATTTTATGATCAATATTTTAATGAAGAAAATTCATAGTAAAACTTTTCTGTCAGTTGTTCTTTATTATGATTATTCATAATGTTTCATTGTTTGTTTATATTTTTTCAGATTTATTCTCATACTTATTCATAACTAAGAGAACATTCTGTATTTGAAATAAATAACAGAAATTATATATCAGTTTAAGGGTTGTGGAGATTGTTAAGTTTTTGATTGAAGTCATGAGTCAGTGGTTTAGTTGGTTAAGCGCTTGGTACGAGACTGATAGGTCCTGGGTTCGAATCTCGCGTGATGCAGGATCGTGGATGCGAACTGCTGAGGAGTCCCATACTATGACGAAACGGCCGTCCAGTTCTTCCAGGTTTTCCATGTTCGTCTAGCTTCAATTGACTCATGATTTCAATCAAAAAATTATACACAAGAACTAATGTAATGATTTGAGTATTAGATGATTGGAGGTAGTAGAAAAGTAGCGATCATTATTATGGTGTATCTATTGTTGTGGTTTATGCTACTTATATCGACATGAGTAGTATATAACGATAGTCAACATTAGAATGTCTGGAAGCAGAAGATCGAGAAGGAAAGAATGGCAACAAAAAGCAATTGATATGAAAATGCAGGAACAATAAAGTATGAGATGGTCAATTGAAATTTTGTAAATGAAGTATTTACTGTATGATTCTTAGATTTTACTAACATGTTCTGTAATTTTGTCATTAAATACATTTGATTGTACCCACTTGTGTTCTAGTTTACTACATTGTTATGAGTAAATTGATATTCCTCGTGTCGTTTGAATTCAATTTATCCAGCGTTAATATTGAGCTATTGAAGCTGTCATTGATTTTGCGGTGAGACTATAATTTATAGACTTTTGAGAGGCGCTTGACTGACTTTGATAGTGTCCACCTGATAACTAGAACCAAATGAGTGTTATGAACCTGTGTGAGGAATTATAATTATAATTTACAGTTGATGATTAAGCTAAGGAATTAAATTTCCGGTTTTCATCACGAACTAATATCAGCTATAATGCCAAAACTCTATTTATCTAAATGGATGAGTGGATTTCGTGCCGAAATCCTAGACCTGTTATCTTATACGTGATTGGTTCGTCCATTGAAATGATTTGAACTAATTGTTCAAGACTCGATAATCAATATCTTATTGAATTTTATCGAGCAAGTTGTAATTTGATTAAATAGTTTATTGTTTTCTAGAAAATTATAGAAAATCAATTATATTCTTTATAGCTTAATATCCAAATATAAAATTATTAAACGCCGCCCGGAGCCCTTCTGGCGCTTCTGCAGGTCCAAAGCCCGGATAAAGGAGGAGGGTTGAGCATGAGTTTGGTGACCCCATCCCGTAGAAAACTAACTCGCTAATAAAAACGCTAACCAGTGAAGTGAATTAGTTATTTTGTTACTATTATTATCAATAACTGATTACAGAGTATATGTGGTGATGGCAATCATTTATATGACTTTATTTGTTACTAAGAATTAAATGAACTAATTAAGTAGAACAACATAGTCAAACATTGAATAATATTAAAAATTAGATATTACTTTATATCCATTACATAATACTATTATACACATATGAAAATAAACAGTAGAATACTTGTTTGAACTCACTAACACGATCTTTACATGTGAGCTCTTTAGTAGTATACAAACAATTGTATTCAGTACCCATATCACCTTCCATTCTAATTGGATCACGATGAGGAAAGTCTGTATTAATGTTTGAGAGATATGTAGATAGTATAAATATTAAAAAAAACGATAGTATTTAATGATAGAATTGTTATACATTGTTGCACTAATCATTACCTTCAAACCATCTGTTCTATACTACACCAAGGTATTTTTCTGACCAATTATTATTAAGGCTAGAAAACGTGAATGAAAAACCTGGAAGGTTTTCTATAATGGTCTAGCTTTAATGAACTCATGAATTCAACTGTTAGATTATTACAATACCGTCAAAACCCCCTTTCTGTCAATGGATTTGACAATTGACTAATGAATAAAGTGAGATTTGAAGTTTAATATCTTTGTTATATCTCTTAAATATTTTCTCCAGACATGAATTTGCAAATCAAGATTTCTAACTAATTGGTCTTTTCCGAAATTTTATGTGTGTAATAATTTCACCGTCATCAATAATTAGATTGGCTATTAAAATGAGTTTCATTATCTGGAAACGAACTTTTTTATCAGAGAACGTACGCTACAGGTTAACCATTTGAATCCTGATGTTAAGTATTAAAATGTTTTCCATTCGCATAGTTTCCAATGACTTTTTAATAAAGTTCCTTTTAAATGTAGTGTAAATGTTTCAACAAATCAATTCAATGTTGATTTAATATATTTTTAGAGGTATAGTATGTTTTGAAAAAAGGTGCACATAATATCGAGTTACTTATCTTAGTAGTCAAGTTACAACTTGATCGACAGATTTCTATCAGCACTAAATGAATAGGCAACTATGACATTGATCACTACTCGGTGATCAATTAATTGTAAATGTTGACTTCACTTACTTTTCAATGTACTATGGATTAGTAATTTAGGTGTATGTGGACAAATGTTATCTAGTAATAAAACGGAATGGGTTGCGTTAGACCAATATGAGTCATTTAATCATATGCAGCGTAATCTCTAAGAGCTAGTATCTGTGGGTTTTGTACTTATATAACAATGGGTTGCCGACTAAACAACTAAAGTGAAATTGGATTTTTTGCTTGAAAATATTATGATCCAATGAAATGATCAGTTATAAATCACTTTGTTCAGATATGATTTTCAGTTGAATTTATCATCAACTTTATTTACTGTAATATGTGAATCTCGTCGTGATCCCTATAGTTCTACTAATTTGAAACTATCGATAATGCTTCCAAATAAACAAGAATTGAAGCTAGAATTTAGTCGCTAATTATTGTTAGTTTGCGTCAGCATGGAAACATTTTGTATGCATTCGAATAACGTGAATGAATTTAAACTCATGAGTAAGTGATCCCTATCAATAATGGTCTTATACCTTAGTAGATACTTATTAAATAAAAGGTCATTTCCGTGTTATATAACTAAGTTTATAGAGTTTGATCTAGATTGAAATCTTCTTTTAATGGTGTCGACTGCAAAGCTACAAGGAGGGTATATGACTTTATATCAACCTGTGATACATTATGTAATATTAGGTTCAATTATACTAAGCCTAAATATTTCTTTCCCATTCATAAAATATTTTATTTATAATGTGAAAAATTAGATTATGTACTGTTTTTTGTGGTTTGGAAAGTTCTCACTATTGTTTTGATGAACAATTGTAGCTCCTTAAGGAAAATATCCAAACTTAACATTTGGTACTCTATTAATCATAAAAATAGTAGGAATGTAAGAGCAACGGTACTTGTGTAGATAAGTGAGAAGTAGTCTCTAATAGTTTGCAGATGGTAATATCCATCACTTCAAATAATTACATTTTATAGATGGAACTTCATAGCTCAATGAAATATATTTTCAACTACAGGGTGAGATAAACCTGCCAGAACAAAAATACTCTGTTCATGTGATTGTAGCCATGTCATATAATTCAGGATGGTCAATATTAAAATATTTTAACTTGCTCTTCCTCTTATCGTAAAGCCGTTTGTGTTTCGGTCGAATTATCACATTTTAATTCGATGAAAATCAATACTCTACAAATTATATTCATGTAAGACGGAGACAGAACACTTAAGTCATACTAACGGTTTGCTTTACGTGTGAACCACAAAAACATACCTAAGGGTAATAGTTATTAAATTATTTTGTGCAATTTATTTCAGATAGTTTATTTGATAAAAGCAGTAAGACCAATATTGAGAGAAATATTGTTGTTTGTTATTCCCCCTTGTTTAGTTTCGGGAACGGTATTTGATAAACCTCTACCAGCCTAGATGCATTATGAGAGAATTCATCAATATACTTTGTAGTTACTAGTTTCAATTTACTTATGGTCCGCGGCTAACGGTGCAGTCCTGGCAGCTTGTGTTCTCCTATTTCGGATTAGTCAGTTGAATGTACTCGCATCCCAGTGTTTGTTATTAATAATAATTATTAATGGCATTATTAGTGTTTATACTAACACACAAAAACAGTATCTAGCACCAACACATTATCCACTAGGCTACTAAATTCAAATGGTTGCTAACTTGTGCAACCAGTATAAAAATTGGTCTTAAGTGTTTGCGTTATGATTATATTTATGTTTGGATTTCGATCGATTTCTGAACTGTTGATCAGACAAAATATCATATTTCTGTCTTCTTGCACTGAAATGATGCTACAAAAGGGTATAGCTATAAGGTGATTGGTTTGTTTTTTAAACTAACTTTCCAGTTTGTCAAAGAACTAACCCTTTTGCATTCAAAAGTTGTTGTTTCATTTGTATAAAACAGTCGTCTCTCCTTAATTAAAATGTTGTGTTTAATTTAGTCTTCCTGATGAAAGGAAGTGAAAGGAAAGTGAACCCAGAATTCTGTAGAATAAAGTAGATGATTTATTTGTTTAGAAGGACTAAAGATAAAGTCTAAAATAATGTCAAGAAACTCTGTTTATGTGAGTTGAATGATCATCTTATCGATCACAGTCATTTATATTTCGTGATATAATCAGTCTTTCATTCACAAGCAATGACAGTTAATGGTTTCCTATAGTTTAATATTAGTGAGAAATCATGTATTTCCTTTTTTGATAAAAACATATATATGAATTAAGGCAAACATGTAGACTGTTCTACAGTTCGACGATTATCGGTTCACTATCTTTTAGCGAAATATATAAGCTATTACTCAATATGTAATGTTACGTTTACTTCTGGAAAGTAGGAAATCAAATAATACTTATCGAAAGGTATATTTGATAATTCGTTAATCACGCTTCCTTCATTTCGAATTCCGGCTTAATCAATTTGTTAAAAGTTCTTTTGGTGAGATTATAATTTATGAACGACTTTTGAACGAATCCTATGTGACCTTGAGAAATATTAGCCAATCAGAAGACAGTTAGCAAAGAGTAAAAAAATATAATACAAAATCAAAGAATTAAAGTGGATACACTTCTTTTACATGGTTCAATAGGCTCTAAAATCGTAATGAATTAAATAGGGGAAATCATCCATATGGCTCCATAATAGTCGGCCTCTGGAGACATGATAAAGTCGCAAAAACGCTTCCAGCCTCGACCACATAGCTTCATTGTGTCCACAATATGCCACTTGTGGATAGCTATACGATGCACATAAACAAGTCTATGTAGCCATCTGTACGCTTTTCAGTCAACCGTATATATTGTAGTGCCCGGTAGCAGCCAGTGGTAATGGTGCTTTTATTATCCAGTTGGCAACAACTGCCATAATTTTCCTTAGTCTCAATCTGGGTTGAGCGGAAAAGTTCTATTCTACGAGACCTCTTCCTCCAACACATATTACAACGAAAGCAACATCATCACGGTAGTCTGTACAAGGTCCACAAGTCATTTGATTACCTTGATCACAAATAAAGGAACTTTTTAGTAGTACCATTTATTGTAGTCGCTAAATTATCACGCTTTCCCTAAAATTCGCTGTGAACCGATCGTATGTGAGCATCAGGTACTGAAACTGGCGCCGCGACCTTGAAATCCCTGAAACGCTTCTGATTGGCTCGTCCATAAATTATAGTCTAGCCGTTCTTTTATAGCATTTCTTAACTCCAGGGACCTCATATTCAACTGTAATATGAAAATTTAGTTAGTCTAACTCAGTGTCATTACAGCAATTTCGTCATCTCAAATCTAATAAACATCTATTTCTGTTATCGACAGATAGGTTTCTTATTGAATAGTCTTAAGCTTCTCAGAGGAAACAGTGATATAATCTTGAAACGATTTGATAAAGGTGAGGATGTTTTTACGCAAGAAATCTAGGACTATTTGTAAGAGGCTTTATTTATACCCAGCATAAGTTTGTTACACCACAAAGGATAGGTGTAAAAAAGCTACAGACTATAAAACAGCCTACAATTGTCATTTTAACAAATTATTTTCAATGTTTTGAAGTGAAATTAAAATCGGAAGTATACAAATTTATTGAGTCATATTTGGTGAATATAAATACTGATGACTGGTACTTCTTGACTTCCAACAGATTCTACAATCAATGTTGTTTTGTGCAGTTAGCTATTTACAAATTCGATGAGAATCACTAATTAACGAAGTAACTGTTTTAAATCATTAGATTAGTAAAAGGTACCCTTGAATAGCTGAATTGAGTGCTTTAACATCTTATATGAATCATCAACAAAAGATATTGACAAATTTTGAGCATTCAAGGTGATATGGGTATCTGTCAAAATTTCCAAACTTACGTCTTCTACGTAAATGACATCCGTTAAGAGGATTCCATTCAGCTTCTAGATCACCCAAACCAGTTACGGGATCACGAGTAATCACTTGAAGGTGAAAAACAAATAATGGAATAATAATTTAGGTCTAGGATATTGAGTTGAAGTTTGATATAATAATCAGAGATTCCAATGAACAGCATCATTTACTTCAAGTTCAAAAATATCTTCGACTGAGAATAGTCATCAACATTTGGAGTACTAATTATTCTGGATTAAATACTACGAAACTAGAACGGTTAAACATTGAAATAACAGTGTAGATTATCGTTTGTGAATAACTGCTGCATTTGCGATCTATAGTAAAGTGAGTGTTCCGTCACAACCCTGGATACATTTCTTTAGTCGCTAGCTACTTAGGAAAGGTAATTTTTTATTGTTTATTTTAAAAGCCTTCAACGTTTCGTCATTAAGTATGGCGTATTAGGCTTTCTTCAGATAAATGAAATATCATAATAAATTGATGAGTTTATTTTAGTGTTCAGCATCGGAACATGTAATGACTGATTCATATTGCTAATCTACTTATAATGAAGATTGCTAGTATCTGGAAACATTATGGGTATTTATTGATAAAACTGTTCTGCTGAATTTACAGATTCATCTATCAGAAGTATTTGAAATCATTTGCATACAGCAGTCATAATTGCCTTGAGTTACTGACAATCAACCAAAAATGAGTAGTGTTTGTTTAACTTGAAAAATCCGGAGAAACTGAATAATTTTCTTGAATAGGTCACCTGTAGTATTGGGAAAATCAATCCAGTTGTTTGTTGCTTTTATACTTTCGCTTTCTTGAAGAACCATAACGCTTAACATTTGTATTTTTCACACTTCTGCCTCTTTGAAATTGGAATGACTACTATTTTTAAACTCATATATATGGGATTGACTTGCAAGCCTTTAATTCCTTACAAAAGTATATTTGGCACAAAAGATATGATCCTTTGAAATTGTACTTTTATTAAGCTTCGTAATCAATTTACGTTATATTGTCTCCAAAATGTATTATTTTATTTCTTTCCTCCATTATGCAAACACTAAACGTAATCACATTTTTTTAAAGCAAGGTTGCCTTCTAAACAATTAGGAAGCTGATCTTATGCGCAATCCTCCTCCTTTACCCGGGCTTAGGGCCAGCATTATTACTTACTTACCCTGTTCCCTAATGAGCATAGCCGCCGACAGCATTCTCCAACCCACTCTGTCCTGGGCCTTCTTTTCTAGTTCCATCCAATTCTTGTTCATTTTTCTCATGTCTATCTCCATTTCCCGGCGTAATTTGTTCTTTGGTCTTCCTCTTTTCCTTTGGCCTTCAGGATTCCATGTGAGGGCTTGTCTTGTGACACAGTTGGGTGCTTTCCTCAATGTGTGTCCTATCCACTTCCAGCGCTTCTTCCTAATTTCTTCCTCCACTGAGATCTGGTTTGTTCTCTCTCACAGTAGGTTGTTGCTAATAGTGTCCGGCCAACGGATCCGAAGTATTTTACGTAGACAACTGTTAATAAACACCTGTATTTTCTGGATGATGACTTTCGTAGTTCTCCAGGTTTCCGCCCCATACAGTAGAACTGTCTTGACATTTGTATTGAAAATCCTGACCTTGGTGTTGGTTGACAGTTGCTTTGAGTTCCAGATGTTCATCAGTTGTAAATACGCTGCTCTTGCTTTTTCGATCCGCGCCTTCACATCTGCATCAGATCCACCCTGTTCATCAATGATGCTGCCCAAATATGTAAAGGTTTTTACATCTTCCAAATCGTCTCCGTCAATAAATCAAGAAGACATTTTTGTATGGTATGATCAATTATTTATTTAGTTATGTGAAATAGCTCAGTTAACATATCAACTGTACAGAATTACTTTCAAAGTCGATTATTGTTTCGCTGAGGTACAGTTCGAAAGATAACATTAAATTCCTGGGTTCTATCTCATCAGTTCAGTTCTCCAAAATATACATAAACCTTTCTTTATGGTAGTATACACATTCTTAAGGGTTGTTGTTTAAAGCAAAATTAAGACAATTCGTTCCCGTTTGGTTATCACCATTTTAAGTTTATCCCAAAGTAATATCTAGACTAATAAGTGTGATTTTACATGGAACGATTTTATGGTTGTAGTAAATCTGAAATGATGGTAAAGAGTTTTGTTCTCTGAGCTGAATGCTTTGATCATGAAGCTTTAATTATATTTTTGAACATCGTCTATTTATATTGTAGTATAATAGTCTTACAAACCTGAGTGTTTTTGTATCATGCTATATTGTTTCAAGGTTACACGTTTCAGACACTTATCAGTAGGTACTGAACCTATATTACATTATTGATCAGTGATAATTTCCGACGTATACTTGAAAACCTCCAAAGAATAACAATATTAAATGTAACACAACTACGCTTCTTTTTAGTTACAGTTATTATCGACAATTTAATGCGATTGAATAATTCCTATTTAGAGTAAAACAGACCAGTAACACATATAAACATTGAGTGAACAATTTGTTTCATTAATCAAACACCTTTTTAAGACAAAATTGTATATTTTTGATTGAGATCATAAACTGATTGATGTTAGAGTAAATGAAATACCATATGAAATGAATTCAATATTGTTGCTAATCATATCACTTTTAATCAATAATAAAATTGTTTACTTAAAATAATATACAATTTTATCAATATAAGGTTATGGAGATCATTAAGTTTTTGATTGAGATCATGAATTGATTGATGTTAGACCACCACTGAAAACCTATAAGAACTGGACAGCTATTTCGTCCTATATTGTGGGACTCCTCAGTAGTGCGAATCCGCAATCCCTCTCACAGGATTCAAACCCATGGCCTTCAGTTTCTCGTGCGAACGCTTAACCTCCAGACCACTTAGCCGGCACCCAACGGCGTTACTATCTAATCTCAACCAATCCATGAAATTAAGCAACCATCTTCCATTGCACTAGTTATGATCTTAATTAAAAACTTAATAATCTCCACAACCCTATATTGATCAAATTGTATATTATTTTAAGTAAACGATTTTATTATTGATTAAAAGTGATATTATTAGTAACAATATTGAATCCATTTCATATGGTGTTTCATTTACTCTTATGAAAAGTAAAATTCATTACTCAAAGCAATAGATTATAAAAATGCATTTACCTTCACCAATATTCGAATGATTTATGTTTCAGCTGACTTGAGAAATTTTATAATAATCATTAATGGAAGTAAACTATCTATTAATATCAGATTGATCAATGGCAGTGTTTAGAGAATACAGTCAATATAATGAAAAATTACATATGTATATGTACTTGTATGTCACATGTGACTAAATCATTTACTCTAATAATAAATCTCTAATATACTCACTCAACTGTCTAATAAGCTCAAGAAATTTTCTCTCTTATGAATATATGTATACATATGTATATATATTTGTACCCACATGACCGTATATATTGATGTAGGTTTGTTAATACACATTTGTAACATAGTATATTAGCAACAAACATATATACTCAGTAATTTAAACATCCTATCTAATTTGTGTAAAACAACAACAACGTACAACTCATTTCATGTTTCCATTAAAGTTCGAAGAAGGTGTTATGCAACTAGTTGGAATTGTAATATGCATGAGTAAGTAACTATAGATAGTATTATAACTGAACGCGTCAAAAAAGAAATGACAGAACAAATATGACTGAAATAAATAAGTAATATGTATTAAACAAATAACTAACTTCGATTTCTTAAACCAGTCTCTGGATTTAAATATGGTAAATATTTTTCTAATAGACGAAGTCCTTCATCTTGATATCGATCATGTGTATACTCACAGTAAACTGAGGAAAACAAAAACGAAAAAAAGAAAGTAGATGCATATACACTGAAATAAAAAGAATTGTAATGGGATATTTTAATTTGATTTTGTCAGCCCTAATAAAACTGGGTTACGAACAGATATGGAGTAATTTTAATAGTTGAGATTATGAGTCAATTGAAGCTAGACTACCATAGAAAACATGGAAGAAGTGGGCGGCCGTTTCGTCCCATTTCGGGGCTCCTCATCAGTGCGCATCCACGACCCCTCCTCACGGTCTCGCGCACGGACGCTTAACATCCAGACCAATGAGCCGGCATTTAACGGTGTTAATGTTTAAATTCAACTAATCCACGAAATCGAGCAACACATCCTTCATCGCCTTCAGTGAGTATTTCAAGTATTAGCTTTTTATTTAAAACTAGAATTACTGTTTTTTGTGATGGCACCTCGAGTTTTGAGCTACAGTCTATCTGCTTAAATTCAGAGTGTTATTTAGTATTATCAAAGCTTAGACAAATCCTGCGGTCCATATTTGGGTGCACGAGCTTATATGTGACAAACGATTCACGTTAAAAGTATTATCCCTTGTTTTAACATATACTTCAGTGATGCGCATTCACAATGCTACCCAGACATGAGATCCTCAGGCTTTGTAGTGGGCAGATAGCTGAGTCTTTAAATATCTGGTATTGTGTGACCAGTACTTATTAAGACTATTTATATCTGCCATACGCTTCATATGGTTGGACTTACATGATCATAGCCTCTCGCTAGAACATTCAAAACTACCTCTCAAAGTTAATCACTAATGAACAGATAGTTGTTATTTGTATAATGAGGTTGTGGGTATTGTTGAGTTTACAGTTCATATACATGTATCATATAAAATTGAGAAGTTTGTGTTGACTAAATCAAGGTGTCAAGATTTTTTTCTTCATAGTTTGATTGTATGCTAACCGTTGACTAACATCAGGAATGATTTCCTAAGTTCTAACCAGAATTCACAACAGATAAAGTTGACTGTTATAAGAAAAAAGCTTTCAGAACCATTGACAACCAATTTCCGTTGCGTTTATATCGAGTAAAGTTGGGTATTTAAATCATACGATTCTATTTCCCTAGTTTTAAACATAAAATCTTCTGATTTTAACTACCTTATGATGAAACATTTTTAAAATAAAAACGTCAACTTGATCATGCACTTCGAAAGAAGAAGTTCAACAAAACAATATTAATACAAAGTAAATTTATTATTATTTTTTTCATTAAGTGTATAAACTCTGAAAGTAATCGTCAAATAGATGACTATATCTTTTGAGACATTGACTTAAAGATAATGTAGATATGATAATATAACTAGAGTTATTTTTCAGCAAAGATGGATAGCGGCTGGCAGTAGAATCCACCACGCTTGTTTCGTCCTAGGTGGGACTCGTTAGTACAGGCAAGTAGCTATCAGGACTCAGCAGCTAAGCGGAAAATGCGATGGCGTTTGAAGCGAAGTGTACTGGGTTCGGGTCCCAGAGTGAATATGAACTTTGAGATGCAGGTGCATCGAGCTGACGAGTCCCAAATAGGACGAAACGTGCGTCCTGGATTCCACTGCTAGACACTATCCATATTTGCTTAGAGTGCTTGTGAATTAAGGCAATATCGAGGCAATGCGTACAGGATGCACATAAGCCAACAAGAGACTGATCAATTTCAGTCCTAATCGTCAATCGAAAGATTAAAGTAAACAACACCAAGTGAATTTAGGGTTCTTACGATTAAAATCAACTGCAAATATCAAAATGAACAGGTTATCGGTGAACTAATTTCTTAATTTGTTAAAAAATTCATTGTTATTCTTCATAATAACTTATTTGTCAAGTTTATATTCTATAATTTTGATGTTTGACTATAATTTCTTAGAAAAGCTTGAACCAGATTACTAGGCAAAACGTTGGTTTCACTGAGATTTTACAAATACATTGTTCTTTAATTGCGTAGAGCTGTTTTGAAAGCTTTACATTTAAAGTATACTGCTTAAAAAACGTCCTCTTAAACCATAAAATCTTTTTCGTCGCCTGAATGAATTCTGCTCTTGTTGTTAGACGACGATAACAGCCACATAGTTGGACCTCAACTTAAATGTTTCGCCTGTAATTTACACAAATTTTAATCTTACTGGGTATTTTTCACATTAGGGAGATCCAGGAAGCTTCTCAAAAAAGTTCAACAAAGGCTCTGAAAACTCTGAGAAACACCTTATCTAATCAGCATTCAACAGAAGTTATGCCAGAAACATCTAGGAAGTGAAAAGTGACATATCACGTTTCCCATTGGATGAAAACCTATACTGCCACTATGTTTAGTAGCGTCCTAGAGTTTTCCGGAAACTCAAGGCCATTTAAATACTATGAAAACCCTAGATTTTCTATACGCAAACAAACCTTTAGATTAAGCGTTTGTTTTATATTTCTTACCTTTTCTCTTGTGTTCAAGTTGCTGTGTAGATTTAACCTGGGGCTTACTAGAAGAGCTTAGGAACTGACTTATCACTTCAAAATAATGGATATTTAGCACTGTGTTTCGCAACACAATCTGCGCTTTTATATAGTACAGATGATAAAAAATAATTTAAATGCTATTAGAAAGTTTTTTTTTATAATTTTGTATAACTTTGACAAGTTAGGTGAACAGAATTCTCAAAAAAAAACTTTTGGTTCACTCTAAGACTCCCACATTACATACAAAGAATTCCAGAACAATCTTTGGTGTTTGCTCACTTTGATTCCCATATTAATTGAATAGTCTTGAAAATAAATAAAAGACAACTATAACATACAAGATGATGTATTCCACGATTGTTTGGAAATGAGTTTTAGACATTATAATTTTCTTATAAAAGATTTTGAAACATTGAATTCACATGGTAATTAATCAGTCAATTTAGAACAGAAATGTAGTGATTTGGTCTTCAGATTTTTCCAGGAAGCTTTTTTTTTAAAACACTGAGTAATTAAAAGGAAGTTCTGGGGTTTTCCTGAATTAGAATTTTTTAAAATAAATTTAAGTGTCTTTTAGTATCGATACCAAATAACTGGATATAGCAAATCTTTTTGCTACGAAATTCATACTAAAACATTCTTCATTGAATTTCAGTTGGATTGTAAAGATTCGGAAAATACATAATAAATACATTTTCACACTAATAAAAATTTTCAGAAGGGGTTTTTTGGAGATTTTAGAAATTTCGCATCCACCACCTCGCCCCCTGTGAGATTCGAATCCAGGACCTACTGGTTTCGCGCTGCTGAGGAGTCCCGTACTAGGACGCAATGGCCGTTCAGTGTTTCCAGATTTTCCATGGTGGTCTAGCTTTAACTGACTCATGATTTTAACCAGAGTAATAAGTATTTATCTTTATTTATCAAGCTTTACAGTTGGTCTTATCTTTGCATTGTCTTGCATCATAAAACTAACACAAATTGCATTAATTTCATAGTGTTTACATAGTATTCTAAAGAAAAATAAATGGGATGAAAAAAATCATTCAGTATGATGCACAGACTTGAGATGTACAGAATATATCTTTTTCAGGTAACTAAATATACAATTAACAATTGTTTATGCAAGATGCTCAATGTCTGTTGTCCGGATACCGTCAGAAACAAATTACTGTGAGAGAGAACAAACCAAATTAGGAAAAGATGATGGAATGGGATAAAAGATACATTAGTGAAGTCACGAAACTGTATCACGAAGTAAGCACTGACTTGGGATCCTGAAGGGGAACGAAAAAGAGGAAGACCAAAAAACACACTGAACCGAGAATTGGAACCAGACATGAAAATGATGAGTAGCAACTGGAAATAACTGGAAAGGATTGCCCAGGAAAGAGTTGGATGGAGAATTCCGGTGTTTGGCCTATACTCCTCCATGAGGGGTGACAGGCGTAAGTAAGTAAGTAAGTAAGTAAATAATATGATTACTAGATTAAATTAGCTTTTTAAAATGTTGATTCATCTTAGAAAACATGTATTCCACTGTTTGCACAGTCGAAAAAGATTGATTACCAATTCATGTAGGTTGATGGATATTATCTTTAGATACCTTATCAACTTGTTCGCATTACGATTATGAATATCAACCACATGTTTTAAGTAGTATTTAGCCTAGCAACCTCTTTTTTTTCTTAGATCATAATGGTTCAGAATTTGCACTGAAAAACAACGTATCTTTCCAAAGAAAACACTCATACTAAAAAAAGAGAAATTAAAAACGTGTTCAATTCGTGGTTTACTGTGTACTAAACATTTTCTCTTCATTTCTTTAATCATCTGATAAATTACTTTATAAATAGACTTCGTTTTAGATTTACAAAGCGTCTAAATTAAAGCATAGGGTTTCTTTTTTTTTTCTTTATCGATGGAGTAGTATAAAGAGATCATGGACATAGTAACTAAAATAAAACAATACTCATCCATTAAACGAAATTGAATTGAATGAACTATTGAACATTAGAATTTGTATTGTTTTTTGACCTTCCTATTTTAGCATATTATACTTCAATTACGAATCAATAAATGAAATTGTTTTTCAATCTAGTATTGAATAGGGAAATTAATTGTTTAGATAATAGGGAGTTATTGATAACGATTTTTATTCCTGATATTCAGAACAGTCAGGTTACACATTGCAGAATGTTTTTTTGAAATCATAAGCTTCTTATGTGATTCGCAAACCATTGACGGATTTTAATAGTCGAATTCATAAGTCAATTCGAGAACTACCTCCCGAACCTAGTCCCCAGTGAGCATGTGAAATCCAATTCGTATCGGATGTGAGACAGTTATTCACCTCACGCAATGGATAGAGGGTTGTGCAAGATCATGGATCGATTAAAGTTAAACATTAAAACAAATGGATGCCGCTTCAGTGGTTTAGAATTTAGGTGATCGCGCGCGAGACCGAATGTCCTGAGTTCGAGTTCTGCTTGCGGGATCGTGAATATGCACTGTTGAAGAGTCTTGTATTAGGACGAAACAGCCATACAGTGCTTTCAAGTTTCCAGTGGTGGCCTAGCTTAGATTGAATCACAAAGTCAACAATTAAAATTACTACAATCTACACAAATCCTCATTCTGACGTTTACATATTTGTTAAATAAGACTGTTAACTAACAAGGGTTGAGCTTTATTGACGTATAGTATAATATGTTTTCGGATGTCTAGGTACAATTTAATAACATATCTTGATGCAAATTTTGTATAATTTGACATGAGGAAAATGTTGCTCTCCAGTTCTAGCAACACTTTTATATGCATTGTGATATTAAAAGGCTTTTAACATAAACTTATAAAACGTCGCCTTAAAGACTTTGTTTAACGAAAAAGATCGTTGTAATAGATGAGGATACAGAAATTAGAAATAAATAACACATCTCTTAGACCAAATAGTTTAACAACCTATTATTCTTTTCCATTGTGGTTTTAAGTTCTGAGTAGTTGAATGAATGACAGATTTTCATGATTCAATCTTTCTTTATATTAAAAGAAAGTGAATCTTGACTGAGATCTATTTGTATCTTAAATTTAAGTTATTCAGTGGTGTAACTATTAATCTGGTTTATGATGTGTAGTGTTTTACCGATATTAATATTTTACACAATAGTTCAAACACAGAAAAAGACTAAGTCGAAAGACCTTATTATATAAATTTGTTTTTAAAAAATTGTAGGTTGTATACACTGCAGATTGATCTCATTTGGTGCACCATTTAAAACTAGGGAGCATTAAACAATAGCCTTGTCCTACAATAGGATCATTCAACGGTATATATAAATTACTTAATCGAGTATTAAACCTATGGGATGAACACGGACTAAAGATTAAACCAATCTTCATAAAATCCTTTCAGTAAAGCTATTCATTGAGATGGTCGAGAAGATTTGTAGCTCAGGTGGATGATTTTGATGGAATTTTTTTCTTCTCTGAGCTGGATGATTTGATCATGGAGCTTTCACCGTTCTTCCGAACGACATTATCAGCCCGAACTTCAAGTAGAATCTATTCATTATTATGTCAATAAACATGTAAATATTCAACTTCTTAACATATCAAATTTTCAATAATAATATAAAATAAAATGGAAACTTGACTAATCAAAACAGTAAAATGAAAGGAGAGAAATAAAATATTTACGTCAACAACAGAATAATCTATTATTGATCGATGTCATCTCATAGTTACAGACTAAGAAAAAACAGCATTACTTAACAATTATTGAATCTTGAACCTGATTCATTTTATTCACTGTCCCAGTTGACACACTTAACTGCTCTACAAGATATCTGCAAACGTATTACTCTACAGTGATACTAATCCAATTTATAAATCAATAAATAAACTCTGTTTGAACCCTGTCAATCTATTAGTCTTAATAATAAGTATTACTTCTGTAAAAAATGTTTCAATTATCGTTTAATAAAATATCATACACTGGAGAGACAGAGATCGAACTGAAGTTTGACTAAATGTTTGAGAGAAAAAACTCATTTGTTTACCACTGTACGCAATCATATATATGTTTATTAACAGAAGTGGCTTTGTGGATATTATGGTAATTTTAATGGCTGAGATCATTAGTCAATAGAAGCTGGACCACTTTGGAAAACATGGAAGCACTGGACAGCCAACTTGTCCTATTTTGCGACTCCTGGGCGGTGCTCACTCAAGGTCCCGACTCGCGAGATTCGAACCCAGGACCTGTCGGTCTCGAGCGCGAACGCTCAACCTCTAGACCACGTAGCCGGCTGGCATCCATCGGTGTTAATGTCTAACTTCAACTAATCCGTGAAACTGAGCCACCGTTCACCTTTGTCTTCAGTGAATTACTATCTCACAACAGACTCGGTTGAACTCCATTGGTCACTGCTATTCACTAGAACTCCAAGAAATATCTCTTGAAGCCAGTCACTAGTGAGGAATCCTATACTAGGACGAAACGGCCGTCCAGTGATTCCAGATTTTCTATGATGGTCTAGCTTCGATTAACTCATGAATTCAACTATAAAATATCTATGTTTGTTATTCACTGATCATAGGAAGAAGTATATGAAAAATTGGATTATTATTGTTGTGAATATTTATTTATAAATGTAATAATACAATTTGTAACTTACTATTCGCTGGTATACAAGCCATTTTATTCGATTTATTCATAGACATTTTACTGATTTTGTTTTATTATTATTAAAATTGAAATCTGACCTTGAGTTTGATTGTTTGTTTATTTTGATGATGATGATGATAATGAACCAAATTATCAATAATTAATCAATGTCCAATATATTGGAATGGATTGAATATTGAAAGTGAAATCCTCCATATTTAACAAAGAAAAAGGAAACATTAAACTGTTATTTATTTATTTTTTTTTAAAATCAGTAACTTCAAAAGTAAACAAGGAAATTCGTTTGTTTAAATGAAATAAATAGTTCAATGGTGGTAAAATTTAAATTATGCACGAAAAAAAATAATGAAGAAAATGTTAATTTATGAATTAAACTTGAGTATATTGAAGAAGAAGACAAAAAAGTAGTTGACGTTAGTAAATAAAAGTAAATTTGTAAACTGAAGTACTTCTCAATTAGTTCCAATCTTGTACACATGTATGAATGAGTCTATCTATTTTGTAAGTACATGTATGTCTGTCTATGTGTATATCGAACATGAACACTGAACCAATTAGTTTCTTTCATATACTTTTTTTATTATTTGTATAACATATATCATTAAACCACATGATTTAGATTAGAAGATTTTTCTCATTTCAATATTTTATTACACTTTTAGTGCTTCTATTGATACCCTTTTTATTGAATTATATGTCAGCACATATATACATATTGAGTTTTACACGATTTCTGTATAGGAACACATGCATTTCTACACAAGTGAAACAGTACATATGTACACACACTCACCCACTCATTCACAAGTTGAACACATGTAAACAAGTCACATGATTATGAGATATTAATTGAATATTTCTGTACTCACCTTATTGTTTTTTTTTAATAAGGGCGTTAACTGTTCATAATATTAACCGAAGTCTACCTGATTACTGCCATTATTTTTTGTCGTTATTACTGTTACTACGACTAATACTAATATACTAATACTCTTATTCTATGCTCATGTCTTTACCTTATTTCAATCATTACTAATGGATTTTAATGAGATTTGAAATTTCATATTTACGTATTAAAACGCAACCAAACAAACACGCATATGCACAAGGAAAGCGGTGTCCTTTTAATTAGTTCACTGAAATTTATAAGTTCCATAACGCAAAATACGATAGTAATAAAAAGTACATTTATGGGTTGGTATTTTATGTAGCAAATTGATATACATAATGTATATTAAGTTGAGAGAAAATACTGAGCCATAGTATAATAAATTATTATCCTCACATCAGAAACTATTAATATTCGATTGTTTCGTAGTGGAAAAACTGTGATTTTAACTACTGGTGTGGTGTGTGCTACTGATGTCGACAGATACAAGTAATGTGTATCACCAATCGAAAGTGAAATACCTGGAAGCAGAAGGTTGGGAAAAGAAGAGAAGAGAACAAAGACAGAGAGTGATTGATATAGAAATGAAGGGACAACAATGTCTAAGACAGTTGATAGACATTTTGTAAATGAATTATTTACTGTATGATTCTCAGATTTTACTAAGAGATTCTGTAATTTTGTACTTAAATATACTTGGTTGACTTACTGGTGATGTCGTTCTCTACGCTGAGTAGTAACCTTTATATAACCGACCCTACTTGTTATCATTTGCGTAGCTGAACAAAATTTATGATCCAAAGCTGACCACATGAGATTTATGGTATTTTCATTATATCAGAGAAATTAGTTTTCTTTCAAATAACTAGTGAAATAAACTTTCATGTAATTAGATTTACGGTGTGTGTAGGGTGATCATGTTATGCACTTGAGCCAATTTAATTTGGTAAAACTCAATTTCGCAATAAAACCTGTTGCTTTAACATTAAGTTATTAGTCTAAACAATATGTTAAGTGGTTAGAAGCAGTCTACATAAAACATCTAACCAAGGTTTCATGGTATTTGGTATTTGTATATGAGGTGTACTTGTAATCGTGAATGGAACCGTGCTTCATGTGGTATTTAAAATCACATCACCTAGCTTCACACTATAAAGCTTTTCCATTGAGCTACTCACTGACGTAGATTTCGTCCACCAATTACCATAAGATTACGGGTGTTTTTACTGACAAGTACAAAATAGCAGGAAACACTGGTCCAAGGATTCCTGTCAACTATCTTTGACCACCAAATTTCTCAACATGGGGACAAGATGTTTAGTTTCTTAGACTAGTGACTTCATACCAACTTGATCGATAACATTCATCAGAATCAAAGGAATAGACGAATACGATATTGGTTATAAATCAGTTATCAATTAGTTGGTCTAACTAACGGAATTTCAAACTTATTAATGAGGAGAATCAATTTCAACAGATTATTTTACTAAATAAGCTAATGATCCAATAATACAGTTAATAAAGCTCGCAAATATAACATTTCAAAATGTATTTTCATACTCTAGAATTCGGAAGAATCTTAAATTGTTATGGATAAAATTTAGAGGAGTTTTATAAACAAACAAACATTACTTAAATTGTCAGCTCTCATCGGCATGATATCTTTCATTAATAAAACTACTTATCTCATTAATGTATTTAGCTTTTGAGTGAAGTCATCATCTGAGATCGTCTTATTGAATAATTAGATCGATTCCTAAAGGGGATAAAATAGATGTATGAATGAATAATGCATCTTGTAAATGTAAGACATACTTTTATACAGTATGCGAAACTTAATCAAAGAATCCATTTCAAAATTTCAGAAACCTAAGATTTCAATCTTATAGCTTGTGTGATTTCAAGCTGTGTTCTATAATCCACAGGAAACGAACATTTTCAAAGTCTTCAATCTATAAAATTGATTACTGCATGACTTATATTTAACGACAACGGGATTACTACCTCGTATAAACGCTTACTGTTATGCTACCATGAAGAACTTATGTATACATTGAATGATACTAAATTATATCTGAAATCAATCTCAGATGTAAGTTGCTTCACAGCGTGTTAACGTTAAGCTTTAGTAAGTTGAGAAAAATATCTTAGTAAGCAATGATGGATAGTGGCTAGCAGTGAAATCCAGTATGCACGTTTCGTCCTATATGGGACTCGTCAGCTGAATGCACCTGAATCTCAGAGTTGATGTTCACTGTGGGTTTCGAACCCATTACCATTCTCTTCAAACGCCATCGCTTTATCCACTTAGCTACTCAGTCCTGATAGCCACTTGGTTGTGCAATAGGGTGAATTTCAATTCATTTGGTATTATTTGGCTTGTATCTTCCCATTGAGGTTTAAGACTGCAATTGATCAGTCTGTTATCGGCATATCCATCATTGCTTACAAAAAGCTTGTTAATTAAGGCAATATCGAGGCATACGCGCAGTATGCACATATGCCGATAAGAGACTGATCAATTGCAGTCTTAAACCTCAATGGAAAGATACAAGCCAAATAATACTAAGTGAATTAAAATGTCTTAGTGTCATCAAAAACTTCTTCGTGGAATGAAGATATATTAATGTGTAGTATTGAATACGTTCAAAGATATATCACATAATTTCCAAGTAATTCAGGTAAACCTTTTAAAATCTTTAAAACAGTTTTATATACATTTAGAATCGACGAATTTATTCAGATTAATTTTTTAAGAATCAATACCTTTCAGTTTATCTCAATTATTAAATAGATTTTATATTATGAGTGATACCCTGTCATTTTTATTTCAAAGATGTGATCTTTTCAAATATATGAAGAATCTTGCACTATATAAACAGAAAATAGTCTTCTAATTTGTTCATTGAAGTGTTTTTGTTTCATCATGAAGAATATGTACATATAGTAGATGGATTGACATTTTACAGAACAAGATAAAGTACATAAATCAAGGTGTGAGAATATACTATTCTATGGTATGATAAATTTCTAACATTTAAACAAACAATATCGATTATCTACTGGACTGTATGTTCTTAGTTTACAGAACTACTTTCAGATGAGACTTAATGATAGGAATTATATTCAAACCTGTGAAGCTCTAATGATCGATCATTTTTGTCAAAATGAACTATAATTTATATAATTTTACTTAGGATGACTTCAGATTAAGGGTTGCCAATATAGTTTTTTCTCTGGAAAAATCATAAAATGTCTGTTACTTCTTTTAATCAAGTGATATTACATTTACAAAATATTATTTTATTCAATATATATATTATCAGAAGGGATTTGGTGGATATTATGGAAATTTTAATGTTTGAGATCATGAATCATTTGAAGCTAGACCACCATGGAAAACCTGGAAGCACTGGACGGCCGTCGCGTCCTATTTTGTGACTCCTCTTTTCTTCCCTCCTCAAGAGAAGTCTCAAAATAGGACGCAACGGCCGTCCATGCTTCTAGGTTTTCCATGATGGTCTATTTATTTATTATTTTATTTATTTATTTGAACACATAAATATTGGTACAAGAGTGCACCACACAAAACAATGAGAATTTTAAGAGAAGGAAAAAGAAAAAAGGTAAGGGGCGTAAAAAAAGAAAAGAGAACAATAACGAAGAGATTGATGTAAGGTGGTGTAATAATAATGGCAAAAATGGGGGAACGGAAAAGTAAAATCAGAAGAAATCTTTCAGTTAAGGAAGATACAACCACTCTTTACGAAGAAAATAAAAGAGGGTTACATCAGGATCGCCACTGGCTTCTATTCTGAGCCACATCTGATAACGTCTCTAGCCACTGTGTAGCACTATCTCTCGGTTCAACCGGACAGTGACTCGAGAACTTTTAGATAGAGTCGAATTTCCACCATAGACGAGCTGCTGTACAAGTCGAAAAAATAAGTATAGACAGAGTAGGAATAAAAGAGGGCAGATAATCACGTAGTAAATAATAATAATTTGAATCATTTGATTGGTAGTCAAAGCAAGAAAAGTAGTTTCCATAAATGTACAAACTTCATCATTTGTGTGCGGTCTGTGATACTGCACGGGTGCCCAGACCGAAGCAGGTAGTTATCTTAGGGAGCCACACCCCGAGCCTTTGACCTAAAGGTCTAACTCAGAAGGCAGTGGAGCATTGTAAGGAGATGCAGTCCCATGGCAGCCAGTGATCGAAAATTGGTTCATACGCCATTTTCTCCCGCAGGATACTAGAGCCCATGTGCACCATTGGTTTGGGATCCGGTTAAAGCGCCGGACATTCGCTTTTCGTCCTCTCATTTTCGTAAACAACACCCCCGCCAAGATAAGGCAGTGCGTAGGACTTCCCTAACAGAGGCTGTATACGCGTGGCCGTGTGAGAGTATTTCGAGAGGAAGGGCGAACCCATCCCGCTCTCGGCCATACCAGGGCATTTGGGGGCTTCAACTGACTCATGATCTCAGCTATTAATATTTGTATACATATGTTCCAGGATTTCATAAAGGATATGTGTTCGTTTTATTTTATCATTTTAGCGAATTTTCTGTAGAACTTACCAGCACTTAGTCCAAATATACGATAAATCCTATGCCTTTATTTGTTGTAACTGTTGGATTAATTGAAGTGGTTATCTGAAATCCATGAATCTGAATTTCGTACCCCATGAGACTTATCAGAATAGTGTATCTATTCAATTACAAAAACTAGAACTCGTAACAAGATTCAAACTTACTTCATTCAGTGTTACAATGAAAAATATCATCACT